CATCTTCCAGTGCATTCAGTTTCATGCGAAAGACCCTAGCAACAATCTCTGGTTTGAGTTCGCTGCGTGCACCACAGACAGCGCGAAAAGACTCTGTTATTTCTGGCCACTGGGAGTTGCACGTAAAGGTTATGAATAGGTCGGGGCTGCCATGATGGTGGACAACAGCCATTGCATCTAAGTACAGTTGCTTCATGTACCTAGGACTTCCAGTATGCGATGATGGCAGAACAACATGGCCAACAGCATCTCCTGTAACATCACCTCTGTTGAAAGCATCTGTAAGGCCATAGTATAGTTCAGAACGGAGGTTTTCTTGATGCGATCGTAAATAATAGAGTCGGTTTTGTTCAATTGTGGAATATGCATCAACCACGTAATGTTGAAGTGCCTTCCCACCTCGCATCAATGTCTGACCTTCGTCGTCTCTGTGCTGAAGCCGGTAAGCATAGTACTCTCTCTGAGTCACATGTTTCCTTTTCAATGTTTTGGGAGTATGAACAGGGTCATACGGTATGGTTACATGGAATCCATCTTCTCCGTATGGGAAAAGAACCGGAAAATGCAAAGCATCAAACTTCGGGTGTACACTTGTGATCCTCTTCAAGCCCTCTGACCGATGATCGATAATGATGTCTCGTTCTTCCTTATCAGGCAAGAAATCACCAGGAATGAGTCCAGCCAATTCTGAACCAGTTGGAAGTTCATATTGTCGAGATGTTGTGTCCCTTGCACCAACAATACGCAGTCTTAAATTGATTGATGCTGGATCATTCAATTCAGATCGAATTCGTCTAAAAGACTTAACTAATTCATTTGTCACGTCAAACAGCTTCATTAAACCAGAAACAATATCAGGACGCAGGGACCGCTCAGCAGAAGAGAAATTGGAGAGTCGATCTGCTAATTCGGTCTGCGGGTCAAAGACGTATAGCTGAGAATATTTAGGTCTCTGACCTGCAGCAGGAAGCAGAGATCCCATTCGATGATAATTTTCTCCGCAGATCACAAATGAATAAGGTCCTCGTGATCGTGTAACTCTCGGATCAAGGCGTGCTCCAAAAGATGTGAAAGAGAACGCAGCATTATAGGAGCGTATATGTTCCCTGAAGTGCGCTGCCATAGGACCGCCATTAACACCCAAGAGGTCTTCAAGGTACTGAGGAGTTTCCTGTAGGAATGGGAGGCGTACTCGACCCTTTTGACAACAAAGCGTGAAAACAGGAGCAAGAGATGCATGCCTGTTCAGCCGCTCTTCATACCAGAACCGTGCACCACAGTACTGGCATTCACAGTCAGGGAAACCATGATCGATAATCCGACTGAATCTTGCTTGTTGTGAAGGTGGTAGAGGTACATCAGCCAATGAACAATGACCATCCAACGCAACAGGAGGATGAGTTTGCGAGCTGGCTGTTAAGTCTTCAGGAGTTCTTAAGTCAAGTTCGGATGCGTCAAGTTCACCTTCTGAGTCAAGCAGTGGGTGCAAGCGTCCCCGTCTATCAAAGTTGCACACACGACGCCTCAGAGAACTTCTCGAAGGAGGTGTGGTAGGTACAAATTCAGTGGAAAGACCAATATGACGACGCTTCCTATTCGCTGAACGACCGGGTAGTAGGAGTTCAGCCTGTCTAGGAGTGGCCTAAGATCACACACTGACGTTAGGAAAAAAACAGGACCTGGAAAGTATAGCACAAGCGTAGCATGATATAGGAACACAATGGTAAATGTAGTAAGATAAAAGTAATAATTTGGCCAAACTAACCATGCCACGCATTCTGAACGGGTACAGTGGAATACAAACACTGGCAGATTTGCAGAGGAAGGCAGATACCAGGTAATAGTATAGCAGATGTAGCAGAGAATTTAATTCAATGGCCAACAGCAAAGACAGAATGAGCAAAAAGAAGCAGTAATGGGAAAGCAGTTATGGAAGAAGGCAGTCTACAGGTAAACGGTGTTTCCAGGGGGAAAGATCCTTCTCAAGAAAAAGTATAATAATACAACATGCACCATAGCAGGCTAGTCTAGAGAAGTGAGAAGTAATAAAGCCATCATTAGTGAACAGAGTAGTCAGAACAATAAATGCATGATGGCAATTAATAGAAGAGGAATAAGTTTATAATTTGGGTCTATGGAAGCTAGTAAACAAAGTCATAGTATTAGTGGACAATCTAAATATCTAGTTTCTGTGTGGCTGGTAGACACCATCTAAATACCCTGCAAGCGGAAAGGGTGTGCACAATGTGGTCCTCAAAGTGGCCATTTACAACAGACAATGGCCACCTGCGAATAAAGAGCAAAACAACTGGCTAACGAAGTAGATACAGGTGCGATGCGAATGCGGGTTAAACGGCAAAATTCCGCCCAACAAATGATGATACAAAGTAAACCAGTTCCTTAGCACAAACTAAAGATCAGTTGCAGAGTGGCGCGATACTATGCCACTTAAAGAAGGGCATGGCAAAATGTTGCTTTACGGTAACGACATAGAGCTGGTTAGAAAGCAGGTACGCAAGGGGTAATCTGGACAAAGAGGTAACTAATACAAGTAAAATGTCACAGCAGACCAGATTGGTAAAAGTGGTGCCAGTAATGGAACACCACAAGTTTGGCAAGGGCTGCAAATGTAGATACAAAAGGCAAAAGTACATAGTGCACTACTCACTAAAGAGTGTTTCCCTTTAAAAGTGACACAAAAGAAAGGGAGGGACAGCACTGCACAAACATGTTACATTAGCACGCATGATGCGAAGCATGGTCAATCAGCAAACAGTTGCTTCTTAGCAGGTTCCTTAGCAGACGACTTTGGAGTTTTTGGCTTCCTCTTAGAGGCATCCACAGATGCTTCAATGGCCTTTGCAGACGGTGTCCTAATTCGCTTTGCCCTCCCAGGATTAGTTTTCCCCACTGGAAGTAGGCGGAACTTCTTGGCCAGCAAGAAGAGGAGAAGGCAAAGTAGAGGTCAACGGTAGGAACAGGAGAAGTCGAAGAGTTTTCAATAGCCTGTTCTTGCAGTGGAAGTTCAACGTCCAAGTCTTGCAGTTCCAAAGGGACAACAGGTTCGTCTTCATCAGAAGAAACAACCAAGCGACGGCGACGTACAGGTGCAGGATTTATAGACACAGGTTGCCTAGAAAAGGAGACAAAGGAAGTAGGTCTGTAAAACACACATCTATATGAAAGAAACATGCACATTCCTATGCAATGCGGGAGCAACTTGCAAAGCACGAATAAGATAATGACTAACAACAAAGAACAAACTGCACAAGGAATCTCCCTAAAGTAAAGACGATTATTACTTCAACTGTGGGAAAATAATTGATTTGAAGCTGACCAAGTAAGCAGAAGGCACAACTATTTGTTTATTTTGTTCTGTATAAACAAAAAAGGTAGAACATTCGTAGATAATTAGTATGGCCACTGAAAGGTAACATTGTATGTCTGCACATTGAGAACACGTGTAAGTTAGCGAAGGGCGAAGAAAGGGATACAAAAGGCCATCCATCGGCTATTGTATTTTATGGTAACGACTTAAAACCATGTATAAAAGCAGAAGACCAACTTTAATTGTAAAGCATTATTTGCAAATTTTTTGCGTCAAAAATAAGTATTCTGTGCAGACTGGAAACCTTTTTTGATCAGGTTTAGAAAAGCACCAAAAGCATGCAAACTGGAATCCTAGGGAGCAGACAACACTGGCAAGCAAAGAATTAGAACGACACATACTGTGACAAAGGCTGAATTGTTGTTGTCTGCAAATTGACACCGAGGGCATTAAGATTTCCAGAGTCAGGATTCGCCGATTCGGTTGGCAAAGGATGTCCAACAGGGATCTGAAGGGACGATATCGGAACATCGGTTTCTTCAAGAGTAACTGCAGGACGACGCGCAGCACCTGCACCTCCAGTTTTCCTGCAAAAGTCCAACAAAGTTGTATAAGGTAAGGACAGTAAATCGAAGTACAATGCAGGATACTATGATAAGTAAAAGAATTCCAAGAGGCAATAGTGGCGTATGCACAGTTAACAACCAAATAAGTGGTAAACGAAATAACAATGGGGAATGGGTAGGAAGCAGGCCACATGTAAAACGAAGGGTGCACAAAAACCAAGTAAATTGCCAGTATGCAAACAGAAGCAAGTTAAACAGGAAATTAAGACCTAATGTAGGATGTGTAAATTTGGTACAAGAAACATAGCAAGTAATAAAGGGCAAAGATACTTCTTCTTAGCAGATGGTTTCTTCGGTTTCGCTTTCTGCGAACTAATGTTCTTGTTCTGCACAGTAGCTTCTGTAGTGTCCGAAGCAAGTTCCCTGATACAGAGATGCTCAGCAAGGAAAGAAAGAGACACGTAAAGCTAGTAAGTAAGTTAACAGGAGGAAAGGTACTGTGGGGATCGCTGTGTTGCAGTTTCTGGGGGCACTTCCTCACTTCTAGGGCTAAGAAGCAGTTAAAACGGGTGTGCAAGAGTCATTGACAAATATTAGCAGGCGTAAAGGCGAACGATTGAGGTAACACAGGAAAAGGCAAGAAACTGACCGCGCATAGGAAACAATCTCAGTACGACCAAGTTCAGGAGAAGTAGCTACAGAACTGTTGTTGAAAAGAAACATGTAAGGAAACGACATCAGAACGTGTATAAGCAGACTAAGCTAGCAAAGCAGACAACAAACAGACAACCTTCCCAATGCAGCAGATGAGGGCGAGGATACAGCAGCGATGCGCCTACTGGAAATTGATGGTAAACAACGCATGGAAAAGAAATATCAACACATAGGGAAAGAGTACGACAGCGTCCAAAGAAGCGCTTGTTAATTTTGTAAAGCAAAGTGGATTGTAAAAACAACCTGCTATAGGGGCGACGTGGAGGAGTAGAAAATGCAAGCTGAGAACTCCCACTGCAAATTTAAGAAGGAACCCGAGTTAAAGACAAGCAACAACCAGAGAAAAGAGGACATGTAAAATTGAAGCATAACCTTGGTGAAGCAACAGAAGAACCATGCTCTACCGAAGCGTTCTGCATTGTTGGAACAACATATGGAGAAGTAAGAGGCATCAAGTGAGGACTGCAACGGAAAGCAGTAATTAGTAATGAACAAAAGGGAACTGCACCACAAACTGAAGAACATTAAAACAACCTGTTAGGAGGTGGTGTATGGGGCATAGCATTTCTTGCCCGGCGACCAAGAGTTGGTGAGCAGGAATTTGGCTGTTCTTGCTCATTGACAGCAAGGACCGTGAATTCTGGCGGGCCACGAGCCCCATATTCCGGTTTTGGAAGCTGGACGTCAAAAGTAAAGTCTCGCCCTTCAAGAGCCAGAAGTTCTTGTGGAAGAACATTGCGTTGGTAAGGAAACCTAGTAGAGAGATCGTTAGCAGTCAAGCCCACAAGAAGGTCAGCGGCCCTACCCAGCAGAACAAAAGCTGCTGATCCAGTGTTGTCATCAACTGTTACCCGAAGTTTGTAACTGCAAAAAACGTGTACAGGAGCATCTGAGGACACGAGAAAAGGTAAAAGGTATGGGGGCAAGAATGAAGAAAGGAATTACAAGTTCTGTGTTTGTTGAGGCACCAAACGACGGTGGTCATCACACCATTTGTCAACACCATCATAATCTATGGCTGCTTTGGAACAAAGCGCACAACCCAAGTAGTACCACTGCATAGAAGAATCAACCGAAACAATCCGACCAGAGCAATGGTAACGCGTAGACTAAAAAAAAGTAAACGAAAGAAATGATTAGACGGACAAACAAATGAAGTGAAAGGAACAGAAGCAGGTAAGCTGGAGAGCAAAATGGGAAAAAGCATACATCGGCAACAGGTGGAAAACACAAGGCAAGTAGTTGTGACACAGTCTTCGTACATTCAGCTTCGAAGGCCGCTGCCTCATTAGGAGTTGCAAACCTCGGAGGGTAATATTGACATGTATTAGTGCTGGCAAAGAACCTAACGAAAGCGAAAGCAAGGAACACAACAAATTAGCAGTAACCAAAAATACAGCTGATGATGCAAAGGGAAAAACAAATATGAGGAGGATAAGAAAAGACATACACAGATTGGACCAGGTGAGCCATTTCAGAAACAGGGTTGAGAACACAACGTGTGCCTGGAGTACTGGTAAGAGAGTAACCTCCTACAAGAGGGGTAAAGGTAATAAGGAAAAGAGGAAGGGAAATGAAAGGGAGAATAGTGCGGCGGTAAGGTACATGCAGACCTTTCGTAGCGCCAGTGACTCGAAGTGAGCAAACAGCAAGCATAACTGGCCCAGAACGACCAAGGACAGCCAGTTCCTGACCATTGAGATTCCGAGCTATATCACTCCACAGACTGATATCAAGAAACATGTGACTGGGCAAAAAAGCAACGAAAGTAAGTAACAAATGTATTACAGTCGATAAAGCAGTGGTGTGCATCTGTAACATACTTTTCATTCTGAAGCACCAAATCACTCCGCACAGTGGTACCGAATGAAGTTACAGTGCTAGAAACGCCTGTTATGCTAACAACAGCGCCAACGACATCTGACAGAGGCACAAGCAAGAGAAGAAAGGAAAGGATGGTAAGCAGTACACTGCAGAACGGACAGCAAGAGACGTAAAGAATACAGTACAAGACCTGTTAGATAAACCGATGAACGTATGCGGGAATGAAGCGAGCTGAACGGGGTAAATTCGAACGCATCCGGCCAGAATGAAGGTGACGAACGGGTCACGTCTTCGAACTGTGTAGCGGCAGAGAGGATGATGGTCAACTTATGAGAGCAAGAACGATACGAAGGGGCCGGTGGCTTGACGCGAAAATTGCTCACGAAGTAAACGCTACCCAACTGCAGAAGCGGAGAGAAATGGCGCGTGAGTTCCGAAGGAGCCGTGCCCTGAATCAAAGTACCCTGGCCAGAAAAGAAACGAACATCAGAGGGCTGTAAAAAGAAGGGAGGCGCAAGATTACGTGGCAAAATAAAAAGGAAAGCAGCGCTGACCTCCTCATCATTCCAAAGAGTGCAGTAGTTGAAGATTAATGTAGGATTCTTGAGGCCATAAGACCCCCACGCATTTAGGAGGCGCAGCTTCAGAAGAGTCTGAGGGCCATCGGAGTCGCTGAGGTCAAGAAGCAATTTATGGGTCACCATGGAAGAGCAATAGAAGAAAGCAAGCGAGCAAGCAAGCTAGAAGAGGAAAAGTCTGTAAGAAGCACAAATGAAAGGTAGCAAAGCAAAACAAGACTTTTGTGGGGAAAGGAACAGATGAGGAAGCGCCAGACCTGTCATTTCAAGGGGAAAGGTGAGGAGTTCCGAAAACCGATAAGTTGCAGAGAGAAGAGAAGTCGCTGGCAAAGCAACCCAGGCTAAAAGCAGAGAGGAAAGAGAGAGGTAAGCAATGATTACAGACGAGAACGCAGTAAAAATGTGGCAAAGAAAAACAGTGTTAAGACGTGACTCTACCAAACAGTAAAGTTGTAACTTGTTCTTTTAAAGAGATAATTTTTATTGGCTTTTGAAACCACAACTACATAGAAGACGAGTTACTAGTCAATTATATGGATGGATGGACGGAAGTCGGAACATAAATAACTCAATAGTGTATCCTTTCATTCGGCGGTTCTGCGTTAATCACCCACGAACACTAGTTTACTTCTCGATGAATTGAACGCTAAATCAATCATGTGATTAAAATAAGGAAATGGGTCCAAATCAATAGGTTTTGTCAGTCACGTTGATATGAATCACCCTTCAACTTCCACAATCTGAATGCAATCAGCTCACTATGTCTATGTAATGGTTGATTGATCCCCTGCTCTGGCTCTGTTGCTGTATATAAAAGCAGAGCATGTCCGCCTAAGAGAAGTCACAAATCCTCTCTTCTATTTCATCATATACCTCACTAATTAGAAGCTCCCAAGCATTCCCCAAATGGCGGTCCTCAATAACAAGTTGTTCTTCCTAGCTTCCATCTTCATTCTAGGAGCTCTGGCTTCTCAATCCATGGCACGCTACGCTCCTCATGAGGCCGCCATGCGCCTTAGGCACGAGCAATGGATGGCTCGTTACGGGCGAGTTTACGGGAGTGCCAACGAGAAGGAGGCACGTTACCAGATATTCAAGGACAATGCAGCTCTGGTCGACTCGTTCAATGCCGCAGGGGACAAGCCTTACAAGCTAGGTACCAACCAGTTTGCGGATCTGACGAACGAGGAGTTCAGAACAACTAGAAACAGGTTCAAGGGCCACATGTGCTCCGCGCAACAAGGACCGTTTAGGTACGAGAATGTGACTGCAGTGCCAACCACCATGGACTGGAGGAAGAAGGGAGCCGTCACTCCAATCAAAGACCAAGGCCAATGCGGAAGCTGCTGGGCATTTTCTGCTGTTGGGGCCATGGAAGGAATCACTCAGCTCAGTACCGGCAAATTGGTATCCCTTTCGGAGCAAGAATTGGTTGATTGTGACACCAAGGGAGAAGACCAGGGTTGCAGCGGCGGATTGATGGATGATGCCTTCAAATTCATCATCGCCAACAAGGGTTTGACCACCGAGGCCAATTACCCATACAGTGCTGCCGATGGATCCTGCAGTGCTAGCAAAGAAGGCAACCATGCAGCTACAATCAAAGGGTATGAAGATGTGCCAGCCAACAGCGAATCCGCATTGCTGAAGGCGGTAGCTAGTCAACCGATTTCTGTGGCGATCGATGCGGGGGATTCCTCGTTCCAGCTCTACGAGAGCGGGATCTTCACCGGAGAATGTGGCACTGAATTGGACCATGGAGTGACCGCTGTCGGCTATGGTGAGAGCGGCGGGATGAAGTACTGGCTCATCAAGAACTCATGGGGAGCTCAATGGGGAGAAGAAGGATATATCCGAATGCAAAGAGATATTCCTGCGAAGGAAGGCATATGTGGAATTGCAATGCAAGCTTCTTACCCTACTGCCTAAAACCAAAGCTTTCTACTCAGCATGCTCTACTTGATGCATATATTTATGCTTGTGAGATAGCTTTGTGAAGTCCTTTTATGTAACTATGTATTATGTATTATGTACTTGTTGATGTTGTTGTTTATTGATGTCTCCTAAAAATCAAAGGGTATGGCTTCTATGTCTATACCTTCCTTCATTGTACTTTATTTTGTAAATCTATATGTATAGTAATCAAGATGTGTTCCTTTCGTTGGATTGTTTGTGTCTCTTTATTTTTGCATTTTTTATGGTCCTTTTTAAGGTATTTTTTTACCGTATGATATATAGTTGCAACTTGCATGTCTATGGCAATTGGCAAGTTGGGACAGGATGAAGCACTTAATGTTAATGGACTTCGTCGCTAAAATATGTTGGAGCCTAGTTATGACGAGAGACTTGTTTGTTGTTTTTATTTGTACTTTTGTGTTCATGGCTTTAGCTTAGGCTAATGAAAGCAACATTCACCTTCTTAAAAAAAAATCAATTTTTTTAGTGATAGGGTCCTAAATTATTTAAGTAACAATTTTTTCGAATACAAGCATTAACTAGAAGTAATTGTTTGCTGTGGAAAACTAGAACAAATTGAATTGATATGATTTCGTGAAAATATAATAATAAATTTGAACAGTCATAAAATCATCAACCTTGCTTTGACCACCAACATTTGTCAGATCACCAAGACAGCATTCAAAACAAAGCTTCTTGCACATACTGCTAGATGGTCAACCTCTAATTTTTTAGATTGAAGTCCATGCTTCTTTACTTGACCTTTACTTTGTGCCATTTTCATCTTGCCCTATCCGTGGCTATCAAGCATAAAAGTTCTTCTTCTTAGGGTGGTTAAATGTCCTCTTCAATGGCCACCCCTTCCTTGATGGCATCTCAAACTTTCGGTATGTCCTCTTGAATGAACTAAATCATAATAAATTTCCTCACATAAAAAACAATAACATTCTACATGAGATAACATAGTTCGTTTTTATCATTCATGATACATAATAGATAATACAGATTACAATACACAACTCAACACTCTCCGTAGTTTCTCTTTGGAAAAAACATGTAGTGAGAGAAAAATCACACATCACTCCTACTTATATTACTTTTATTTGTAGGATACAATTTAATTAATTTTGCTCTTCAGGGCAATATATGGTTGTTATGATGGATGGGAGCATCTTATGACTCTGAATCGATATTGACACAAGTTGGGTTGCAAGGGTAAGGGCAATCAATCTTCTCGAACGAGCTTCTCTCGTTGAACCAGTCTCCAACTGCCTTCCCAATCCTCTGCATCCACATCACAAATTTGTTTTAAAAAAATCAGTCATGTATTTATATTAGTCATGAGAAAAATGGATAGAAAAGGAAGAGCCATTGATGCACCACCTAATTACTTGTACGTTTAGGTTAGTTACCCTAGTAAATAACCCATTTGCTTAGGTGACATGAACTCCATGTAGTTTTTTGGGAAATCAAATGTATCGTCACTAAGTGCATGCTCAGATTTGCCCTTCCTTTTAAGGCAAACTTGAAAGTAGGAAGCTTTATCTACTCACCGTGTTGGCCAAGATGGGACCTTTACCAGCCCATGTGAGCTGCGACCCAGATTGGCAATGGGCGTGGCACGAGTTTATGAACAGACCCTTGGAAGAATTCCCCAGTCCAGTGTTTATGGCGCTCAAGAATTGCGTCCTGAAACCTAATATTATACAGAAATGGACATATCGATCGAATCATGAATGGCCCATTTCTCCACTCCACATGACGTAATGCAGAATCATGGAATGGAGGGGGTTTTAATTCAATATACCCTGTACAGCCTGGAGCTGAGAAGCAGAGCATTTCTTCAAGTCCAGCTTGCAGCTCTTCCATGCTCCTTTCTTGTCAGCCGACGTTGGTGCCAGCACATTCTTTATCTGAAACCAGATTTAGTCGAATTTCAATATTCAATCAAGTTCGTAAAAAGCTTCAAGTTGATCGACAATGGAGAACTCACTAACCTGCCATGAATCATAGGCGGCGTTGATGAGGAAAAGTGGCGTCCGCATGGTCTGCGCCACATATTGTGGGAAGAAACACTGCAAAAACAGAGAACCCACGTCAGTGATCTAGACTCGAATGGTTATATGATCGAATAGAGAAGAGAAGAGTAAAAGTAAATACCAGGTCCGGCCTCATTCTTGAAGTACAGGACGCCGGCAGATTCTTGGTGGAGCCCTGTTACCCACCTCCCCCAAACAACAGAATTAGGCAACAATGACATCACAATAACAAATTCAGAAAGAGAGTTGTCATGGAAAGAAAAACAGAGGATTGTGATGTATATAGATAAGCACGCACATGTGTGTTAACTACGCCGCCGAAGAATTTCTCGATGGCACGTCCGCCGGAGATATCATTCCTGCAAAAACAGAGTGGATAGATTCAGACAGAGTGCAAAAATGAAAAATGCAATTGATGGAGGGAGGGAGCAAACAATTAACAACCCACCCGTGGATGAAGAATCCGGCATCGGAGACACATTTGACTCGGGCAGTTGGAGGGAGGAGTGCCTTGAATTTGTCGCAGTGCAGTATTGCTGCCAGCCCGCCGGCAGAGCAACCTGATAGTATTGCCTGTCATCAGCAAGTATCATATTCTCGTTAGTAGGCTTTACGTTTTGATATAGACAAAAGGCAAAAATGGATAGGGAGTTTCATTGCTGCATACATTTTGGGCGGTCTTCATGCCTTGAGCCAGCAGATCATCGATAACAGCCCGCCAGATCCTTTCTCCCCTGAAGTAAAGCCCTGTTTTCTGCAAATGAAAGTAAGAACACACACAAGATCAGATCCCCGTCACTATTCTTAATATTGCTATTTCTTGGCCAGGTTCTAAACTAGTCCAAAACAGGGTAAGTTCCAAAAGTGGAACAGGGGATTAATGAATGAATGAATTGGTTAATTACAGGATCAACAGCCTCGACGTCGCCGGTGAAAGAAGAGCCGTCGCAGTACTTGATCTTGATCCTGTTCCAGTTGTAGAAGTCTGTTTCCGGCATACAGAACCAAAGATTCGGATTAGAGGGGAAAACCCAAATAGAAGATTGCAAGATCTGCTGTAAAATGGTTAAAAAAAGAGGGAAGATACGATTAGATATAATTAGGTAATTAATTAATCAATATTACCAGGATTGGAGGCCTGCTTGCTGCCGAGAATACCAGAGAAGCCGATAGTCTTGTCCATTTTCAAGGACGAACCTTTGTATGTATCCTTCCTTGAAACACAGCTCTCGATATCATCGCACCATCCCCCTCCCTGTAGTGTCCATTAACAACAAAAATGAATCCTCCAAAATGGTAAATTACAAAAAAGTAAAGTTCATTTCTTTCTGGTTTTTGCTTGGGTTACCTCAATATGAACCAACCAGTTGTTGGCGCCGGAGCCAGAGCCTTTCTCCATGTGGTAAGCCGGCGGGCTGCCATCCAAGCACACTGCAGACCACATCATTTTTCCAGATCAGTACAGTACCAAAGCAAACAGAGACTGACTTAATAACCATCAGGAAGTGAAAAGGGGTAGTAACTAACCAGCTCCTCTGGCTTTGGCAGCGTGGAGAATGGTGATGGGAATGCTTCCACCATTTACTGTCACCAAGAGCTGAATCGCAGCAGAGAGAAGAAAAGCCCAGAAGCAAGCAGAAGAAGAGAAGCTCGATCTCGGGGAACAACCCATTTTAATTAACTTTCCGTTGCTGCTGAATTTCTGCTGCGGCTGCCCAGAAGCCCAAAATAGTATTGGAAAGGAAGGGAGAATAACTAACTGAATAAAGGGGAGAAAGCCAGGAACCCTGGGAATAAAAGCAAAGCAGCAAAAAACCAAAGCCACCAAGCAATCTAGAGAAGGATTTGTGTGAGACCTGGCGATGGATGAGTGGAAGCTAGCTGGGTATATAAGGAGGGAGAGGGAATAAATAAATAAAGTGTAATATATCCGAATCGATAAAGCAAAGACAAGTTTACTTGGACGGAGAGAAGAACAGAGGAGAGGACGAGAGGTAAAACAGTAATAAATCGAGGAGCAGGCAAGCTGGTTGCAGCCACCACCAGTGTCCAGTGACCAATGTGAACTTCTGCTGTGGCCTGTTATTGTATTGGAATAATAATCAATAAAAGATATGTGTTGGACTGATGATCGTAATAAATCCAATGGACCAAACACTGCTACACGGTTTCGACTGTGGGACACAGATCAGCTCATGATCTTTTTCAAAACGATAAAGTAGAAATAAAATATGACACGACACATACCATGATTCAAACAGAAAAGGGCTACATTAGTGATAACATGTGCGCCCACCGACGGGCCATTCCAATGAAGGAACCCACCTCCGCCATTCTATTATAGCACCTCATATCAATCTCACCAATAATTTGTTTGAAAACTCAATACACTGATGCGCTACTATGACTTGTGTTATTTTCAAATAACTAAAAATATCTAAATAACTCATATTTGTACCTCACTTTTTCCCATCTTGTCCCTTCAGTTTTCTCACTTTTCCCTACTTTTGAAAGCATTCTGATATCTGCCTTTTATGATACCAAATATTATTCATATTCATTGGTTGCAATTGAAGATATTTACAATAACAATAAGTTGAAGTTGTTTTTCTATATGACTTATGAAGGTCGATCAAAGCATCAAAAGATCGACATTATCGGCATGAAGGTAATCGATTGACCATATAATAGGCATTCTCATGTTTTAGCACCCTATCAACTAGTCAAAATAAACTTGATGTTCTCATTGGGTTAAAATACCTAATTAACACATATGCTCGATTTTGTGAATTGTTGTATTAAGTTGTGGGGTATGCTATTCGTTCTTCAAACTGGTACTCCCTCCATGGTGTGATTTTCAAAAGAGATTTGAATATTATTGTTCGTTATATGGATGAATGGATACTTAACATATTTTCTCTCGTGTAATATAGTAGTGACACATAAAGTTATTGTGTTGTCTTTTCTAAAATTGGCCTTGTTTGATTGTCTTAATTAGCTGTACAGAAACTTGACGTGTTTTCTCTCGAGTGTTTCTTGAGTTTGAGATTCAAGGTTTTGCACCTAACTTTGTCGTTATTGATATATATCTAGGCAGGAAAAGAGCGACCATGAGAATTGTATCTTCCATTTGCATTATAGTTCCCCCCCTTGTCGTCATCCATTTGTCAACCTGTTCATCAATGCCATGGCCTTGTAATTAAGCCACATCGAACTTCAATGGTGGATTAATTAGCTGGAGTTGATTATATTCCTGGCCGTCTCAACCTCATCATTCAAACCTACGAATTACGAGATGAAAATCAAGTGGACCGCTTCATGATACTATTCATTCTAGGAATCGGTAATCCAAGATCCAAGAAGCTATATGGTTCAACACATCCATCCAAATTACCATTCCACTTTCGTTATACAACGCTAGCTCGAACAACCTTACCTTCAACCTTATTATATCATATATATATATATATCTAGATCACAAAACCCAAAATTACCCAAAAGAAATACTCCCTAATTAAATAATTTCAATTAAGCGAGTAGGGTGGAAAAGCGCGGGGAACTGAAAGTGCCATTGACGAACATATCGGCCAGCACCCTGTACATCCCTTCCGTGAGATGCACTCCGTCCCAGTTGATATAATGCGCCGGGTCGGGGCAAACGGCGGCCGCGCCGGGAGTGCCGCACGTGGCGAAGACGTTGAAGTTGTACGGCGCGTCGCCGGACCCGCAGCATGCCTTGAAGGTCTCCTTCATCCCGTACTTCGCCGGGTTCCGGACCACGGACCGGTATGCGTTCCAGTAGTCGAGGTACACGATGGAGGCTTCCGGGTAGCGGGCCCGGAGCCCGTCGAGTTTGGACTGGTATATGGAGTTATGAACGCTGGTCTGGTTGTTGGCGCTCCTTACGCAGCCCAGCTCGTCGCGGTCGTCGTCCGGCGCTAGGTACATGGCTAGGGTTAGGCATCCGGACGGCGGGAGGCCCTGGACCACCATGTTCTTCGCTCCCCTCTTCAGCAGTGCCTGCATAGAGATATAGGGGAACAAGATGATGGGTTATTATGGTTTGTCATTCAAAGCCCAGTAAGGAGATATGAGCCCGGCCCACTTGATGGCCCAAAAAAGGCCCTAAAAAGTCAATGTGGAGGTTGGGCATACATAGGGATAGGGGCTACACCCATTAAATGATTTAATCTCCAACGTTTATCTTTGATTTGATTATGAAAGGTTTGACGAAGATAACCTCGTATAGTTATTCAATAGTGGTGGCTATTTATGGAAACAGTCATAGTAAATTAGTAATTCACGCAGTTTGTTGTTTATTCTATTATTTATTCATGTCGTTGTAAACTTAATTTTCAGATTTTGAAACATTTCAAAATGAATGGCATTTTGTAGATTATAATTAATGCAATTCACTATCTTTAAAAAAAATAACTAATACAAATTATTACCATAAAAAATATATGAGAAGCTTTGGGATTTCATTTGCTTAAAATAAAATCATAACTTTTACATGAATATGTACCGAATCACATGAATGATCACCAAATAACGTTAATAAATACAAAAATGAATAAATTGGGTTTTGTGGTTCTTTAGCTCCACCCAATATTTTCCTTTTTTTAGACACAGACAAGATAGAGGGAAAAAAGAAGCTTTGGAAAGGAGCATCATTCTTCTTCTCATCGGAAATTTCAACTATTGAGAAGAATTCCATTAAAATTAAACCTAAGGAGTTGTAATTAAACATATAAATATATGGCGGTGGTAGTAATGAATGGTGTACCTCCAGGAAGTTGGTAACGGTGGCAACGGAGAGCCTCTGAATCACATCGCCGGAGATTTCAGATCCAAGAATATAGGCATAGTCATTCACTCCGATCTCCCCGACCCAGAACAGCGCATCCTCCACCGCCGCTCCGCACGCCGCCGACGCCGACGCAGTTCCGTTACAACCCTGGCCCGCCAGGAACTCGTCGAACCAGCGGAGCTGGGTCTGGATCGACTCGGGGGTGTTGTCCAGCGTCAGGTTGTTCTTCGCGAAGAAAGCGTGCTTGATCGCCGTCGCCCCTCCGACGGCGAAGTTGACTCCGTTCCTCGCCGCTCGCGGGTCCCGCAGCGAGCGGTAGGGAGGGAGGAGCGGGAGGGATAAGGACTGGGTGACGAAGTCGATGACGAGGCGGCCGTCGGAGTAGCGGTTGGTCGGGCGGTGGAAGTAGGTGGAGCCGTACGGCGGGTTGGACACGTGGCCGAACCCTCCGCCGGGCCCCACCGACCTCGTGTTGCCCGTGTCGGTGAAGGAGTCCCCGAAGGCGTAGATCTTCTTGAAGGAAGACTGCGGCGGAGCGGCGGTGGTTGGGAAGAAGAAGAGAGTGGTGGTGGTGGTGAGGAGGAGGATGAAGATCATGGCGGTGGAAGCTGACGACATTTTCGGGGCTTTCCTTTGAATCTCTAGGTCCAACAGACAGTCAATTCAAAGAAAGCTCGCGAACGCAATAGATATAGGATTATGGAGGAGGAGGAGGATTATGGTTGGGAGGGTGTAGTGTGCAATGAATGAGTGTAGTTGGGTGGGTGATTTGGCCCGTTTTGGTTCGTAGTAATATGTATTGGTAACGGTTTTGGTGGGATAATAAATGATGAGCCTAAGAATGGGTGAACCTCCATTTCTGTTGTTGACTGTTAAGTGAGTTGCTTTGGGAACTAGTAATGCACTTCTTGGAAGAAAGCAAAGAATTAATGAGATCTTCTCATAGGTGTTTGTTGAGGCATTTTTAGAGTTAAAAGTTACATCAAGTGATTGTATCCCGGTAAGAAGGGTAGAGAAAATAGTCTTGAGCCAATGTTCGAGTACGTACGAGGCACTACAACAGTGAAGTAATTCATCTCATACTTATAAGAGAACGTTCGAACGATTTTCAACAAAAGGGTATCTGTACACGAAACCAGCACACGTAGATTGATAGGAATATTTATGTGACAGAATATGACATTTGACTCGTGAATAGATGATATGTATATGCCAGGCTTTCAATTTTTGTAATATTACACGTATTGATTTACTCATCTCTTGTGTTACTCCTCCTTATAATCCACAAATGTAGAAACAAACCTTCCACCACCAATCACCATCCAACCCAATTGAAAAATCACTTTCATTGGATGGAGATGTTTGGAAAATGTCCAGCCTAGAAGGAAGAACTTTGAGACAAGAAGAATATTGATAATTGTATCTCTATTTGAACGCATGCATGTTCAAAGTGACATAATCATGTTCATTCAATGTTGAGTGAAAATTATGGTCAAATTTCTCATGATGAGAACGTATTTGTTTAGAAGACCTTTTTCTAAGAACTGTAGTGTGCATGCAAGTTGTGATTACTGATTAGAAAACCAAACTATGATCACCAATTTTCACTTTTGGGTTGGCTTATCAATTTTGTGTTCGGTTTTCCCTCTCTCTATTATTGGATGTGAATTTTGTAAAGTTTACATGGCAAAAGAAATTTACTGATCGGTGCTTTATACTCATTTCATCAGAAATGTACCGCTTGTATTGTATGCTAACTCTCAGTCTCAATTCTGTTTGTCTTCCATTTTTTTACTGTCATCAACTGGGTCGCATTTCTTTGAGAGGAATTTTAAATTTGGGAGACTGCAAAATACGTACAATGAAGATGAAAAGATTCCAAAAATCACTGTACGTAAATAGAAGAAAACAATAGTGTCAGAGAATTCAATTGGACAGATCAGGACTGGGGAAGTTGTGGAATGGGCACTGTTCTCTCTACAGTCTTGACAGAATCGGAAAGTAGGCGATAGATCATTCACGGCTGTGTTGGTTGGATCCGAACTAAATGCCGGCGTCCTATCCCGAACTGCCTTTTTTTTTTCTTTTTTCATCCACCGACCAGTAACATTTATTTACCTGTACATTATTTATCACGGTGCTGCAGCATTTCCAGAACTTTGAAAAGATGTGTACGTCGACGATATACGACGGTAACGGTCGTATTACACCGACGGCGACTTGCTCGATGTTCGGAGAGCAGTCGGAAGTTGGTGCTATCCGCTTGCCTAAATATGGCTTACATTGTACAGATGGGCCGTGGTCCGTCGTAACGGGGTATTGAAACTTTAGGCCCGTAAAGTCCACGTTGGGCCATCCGGCCCACTAATTGGTGTACGGGCCACAGATATGGACAATGTTGCAACTTGCAAGTAGGGCTGGCTATTTGGTCCGGATTTTTTGGTTTTACCCAAAACCAGACCGTATAACCTAGATCGAGACCGGATTGGGACCGGATAGTAAACAATCCAATCCAATCTTTGAGTTCATATTTGAGGTAGAAAACCGTTCGGGACCAGATCGAAAACTGGATAAAGACCGGATAAGAGAGCTCAACACCCAAAACTTAAGGGTAATTTGTATAAACAGTCACAAACGTTTGCACTTAGTAAAAAACTTAACCAACTCCTCACCCTTTCAGGCCTTAGGCCACTAAAATTCCCACAAGTTCCATATAAAATCAAGACCGAATTGGGACCGGACTGGGTCAAGACCGGACCGGATCAAGACCGGACTGTTTCCAATCCAATCTTTGGTCCTTATATTTTCAAAAAGACCAGACTGGACCGAATCAATTTGGACCAATTTAACCGAACCGGACCGTATAGCCACCCCTAGTTGCAAGCAGAGGCAGGAGATGGGTAATGTTGGACTGAAGAGTATAGACAGTTGGCCATGGCTGCATCCACGTGCTACTTCTTCTTTCCGAGCGCCCGGCTGAGAAAATCGACGAATCGGAAGATGACGCCGGCCGTTATAGTTGTTTCCAGAAGACGAGGAGGATGAGGATCGTGGCCGGGTCGAGTTCAAGTCCAAACCAAACAAACAAAAAATAATTGCATCTGTCAAGAAAAATCCCATGAGAAAGTGGTAAAATGATGATAGATTAAGGATAAATGCATGCATTAATGCATACTACTTTGGTCCCCCAAAGTTTTATAATCAGTAGTATGGGACCGACTAATCAATGCACAAAACAAAAGTCCACCAATGTCGGTGGGTACATCTGTCCAAAACAGAACAAATACTACCTGTGTACGCGGTCCTTCCTATGCCTATATGGATCTGTGACTGTGTAGTATACATGCATCTATACTTCAGCTGGATGTACTGTAAAACTGTAAATGATGTGCCTCCCTTCCTCCCTGTCGTGTAAAAGCTTCCTGTTTGCAAAAACAAAACTAAAAACCCTGTAATTGCACTGCTGTTCTCCATCTGATCTTGCGGAATAACAATCTCTACACTTTGCAGATTCTTCCATCGTAACGAAGCAACAGAGAACCTCGGCTGCTGAACAATCAGGAGACCCTCGCAGCATCACAGCAGGTTCATGATTGCCCAAATGGAGATCAATGCCAACAACAAAGGCAATCTCGCTGCGGCTGCTGCTGCTGCAACTGTGGCGGCGGATCCCTTCTGCAAAACCCAACAGTAAAATGGAAAGAAACCGCTAATTCAGCATCCAATTTTTGCAAACAATTCTTCCACATACATGTGTTACTGCTCTAGCTTATGTTGTCTATGCACAACAATCTTCGGTCTTTTGTTCGTTTGTCCTCTCAAGGTTGTTTTGTTTGGTGTTTTGATGGGATTGTCACAGAGAACACCAAATCGGGGATGAGTAAGTTCGATTTCGTTTCATTTCCGGCTCTGGGTTCTTTCTCTTCCTTCCTTGTTGGAAGTATAGAGAACTGGGTAGCATATGGAATGTGTAACAAAGAATTGGAGTATCATGGATTGGATGATGTAGAACTGCTACAAAGAATGCTGTTGTGAATATAGAAATGGATAAATTTCCAAAGGCCATATGCACCACAATTTCTTGATGGGTGCATTTCAATTATGACCTCTGCTGCTTATATTTCATTTCTTCCAATCAAACCAAATCCAAATGCATTTCCTCTCTGCTTTGTGATAATAAATCAATCAAATGCAATGCTAGCTGTGGTCCTCTTCTTTTCTTCTATCCTCTACTGCTACTCTGAATATAAATGCTCTCTCATTATTGTAGTTATACCCTACTCTATTATATAGGTTGTTGAATGGTATGGAACTGAAGGAATTTTGGAGATTGGAAAAAATCTATACATCTGTCTGCTCTGGACTTGTTCCGCCGCCGCCGCCGCTAGCAGTATTGTGGCAAGTTGGATTGCAAGGGTAAGGGCAATCGATCTTCGCGAATGGGCTCCTGTCAAAAAACCATTCTCCAACTGCAGTTGCTATTTTCTGCATTGTTTGTAAATCTACATTAGGGGTTTTCGTGACGGTGTTTAGGGGTTAATAGAATTAGAACATAGGACACAGGTAACTTTCTTAAGAGGCTTCTGTGATGGGTTTACTTACCGTTCTGCCGAGAACAGGTGAATCAGCCATGTACCAGGTTTCCTGAAACTCTGTTTGGCAATGTGCGTAGCAGGAGTCTATGTATAGGCCCCTAGCTGTAGAATTGCCTGATTTGGACATTAATGTCTTCAAGAACTGCATCCTGAATGCTGCAAAATAAAGGGAGGCAAACCCAGTTCAATAATCCTCTACTTCCTTTGAAAACTGTGCTTAAAAGGAAAGCTAAACAGCATGCTTCAAAGAGACACCTTGCATTGTTTTGATCTGAAGAGGTGAGCAGTTGCTGATGTCAAGCTTGCAGGCATTCCAGGAGCCACTTGGATCAGCATCAGCCGGTGCCAAGATGTTTCTTATCTGTCAAGTAATGCCCGACATTCATAAATAATTCCAAACCAATATGATCAAGAGGCTTCCTTGACACAAAGGTATAGCTTTTGACGTTTGAAGGTGACTGACCTGCCAATAATCATATGCAGCATTCAGAAGAAAAACTGGCGTTCGCACTTGCTGTATTACATTCTGAGGGAAGAAACACTGCATACAAATGGAAACAAAGGTGTTTAGAAACGTGCAAAAGGAACACTCCGCAGTGATGGTGAAGAAAGGAATCAAGAACAAAAGGAACACTTGCCAGTGATGGTGACAAACTTCCAGTGCAAGACAAAGGCAAGTTCTTTGCAGATCCCTGCAAAACAATGTAATTATTGAATCATAAATTATTATCTTATCCGAACTGAAAATGACAAAGTTTACTGAAAATCTGATAGAGATAAGCAGCATACATGTAATGAAACTACTTGGCTGAAATAGGCTTGAATGTGAGCCGCTCCTGCAATATCCTTCCTGTTTCGAAGCAACACTATACTTCAGCATTTCGCAGTGATAGGGTTATAGTTACAGATTTCTCTGCAGTACTTGTAGTGTTTGGATGAAACGAGCTATGCAATTGTTGATGAGCTTACACATTGATAAAATAACCAGCATCTGAAAGGCATTTTACTTTAGTACCCATAGGCAGCAGAGCTCTGAAGCTGTCACAGTGCATAATGGTGGCCAATCCGCCAGCTGAGCAGCCCGACAGAAGAGCCTGTAAACCAGCCATTTTTTTGAAAGGGTGCATGTAAGTCATCATCAACATTCTTCTCACAGTCAAGCAGAAAAAAGTCAAGCAACCTTTTGGTCTTACATTTTCAGCATTTCTCATCCCTTTGGCAAGGAGTTCTTCTATAACAGCAAGCCAAACCCTTGCTCCTCTGAAGTGAAGATTAGTAGCCTGATCAAATTACTATCTTATTAAGAATGCAAAAATCTCAAGAAAGCTCCTCATAAACACAACCAAAAAGGAAACCAGCTTACAGGATCCACTGCTTCTACATCGCCAGTGAAAGAAGACCCATCACAGTATCTAATCTTAACTCTGTTCCAGTTGTAGAAATCTAAGACAAAAGGGGAAATTGCATCAAAACTTCACAGTCAAGATACCAGAAGAACACCAAGCAAGCAAAGCTGTAAGAGAAAAGTTCAAAGCAGGATTTCATCCATTAATGTCACTCATTTTTTTTACCTGGATTAAATTCACGCCTATTGCTCATGATTCCTGAGAAAGCAAGCTGGTTGCCCATTTGCTTAGACGAACCAAGACGCGTATTCTTACGAGCAAGGCACGAAGTGACATTGTTGCACCATCCTCCTCCCTACATTTCCACAGCAACACACCATTCACTCAAAATGAAATTGGGTAATACATGTGCAGAAGTATCAACCATAACAGACACATCACGCTTAAAATGTCTAAGTCATATTTTCGCCAACCAATCCAAACCCATGTGCCCATATAACACATCAAAATCAAGACTTCCCCATCACTGTGTACCAAATTGACCCTTCATTGCTGTGGTCTTACAGTTTGGTGGTCTCAATAAATGATTAGGTGGGAGCTGTGACCAGAAATACTAACCTCAAGTTGAACTAACCAATTATTAATCCCCGTTCCATACCCTTTATCGAAATTGTATGCTGGTGGGCTTCCATCCAAGCAAACTGGGGGGAAAAGGCCAAAGAATTATGAACAAAGATGACAAATTTATGAACGAAACAGCAAACCATAAACTTGAATGCCAACGGCAAGGAACAGAGACCCCTCACCAGCTCCTTTGGACACGCCACTGGTGACATATGTAATTGGAGCATACAGGCCGTCGGTTCTGGTCACAGACAGCAAAACCAGACATAGAAAGAGATGCAAACATTTGCCTGCTGCTAGCAATCTGGACTCTGCCATTCTGCACATGAGGAAGAAGAAAGGGGGAGGAACAAAACATTACTAACTGTGTGAAGAAGGAACATTTTAGTTCTTTTTTTTTTTTATTTTTTTGTGCTTACATCAAAGGAGAAACATAGTCCACTGACAACATAAATGTGCTTTCACCGATGCTAAGCTGGGAAACAATCATTAAAAACTAGAGAATACGAGAGAGCAGGAACCCAAAAAAGAGAAATCAATTGTAGCAACCACAGAGAACCCACCCAGGAAATATAAAATAAAATAAATACAGGTAGTCAGCCAAGTGTTTATAGATCCATGATTATATTGTTTAGGCAAAGCAGCTTTGGAGATTAGATACCCAATGAGCAGGCCAAATCACATGATGGGTTTTTTTTTGGACAAATGTAATCACATTCCCATTGCCAAACATCCCCAAAAAGTTCCCCACTTTTTTCCCTCCAAACCTATCTGTTTCTTTCTGGTATTGCTCACCGCTCAATGAACAGTCCCCATCCCAAAAAAAAAAAACACACACACACAAAAATTCTTCCACCCAAAGCAAACTGAAAAGAGGAACAAAACTTTTCCATAGAGATAAAAGCAATGCAGGGAGAAAAGGTAGTAGAGCAAAAGGAAGCAATTCGAGTTACCCTGGACTGAAAGAAAAAGAAGGAATCTTGAGACAGGGGAAGGAGAATGGCAAGGCAAAAGGAGAAACCCAGTTCAGAGTTGCAGCAGCTGGAGGGAGGGAGCTCTATCTTCTTAAGATTGCTCAGCTAGCTTGGTGGCATTGAGCAGCCAGCGGAGGAGAGGAGGGCACAATAGAAAGGAAAAGCCGGGCCTTTCTATGGTTTCCTCTCTCGGAGGAGATCAGAAGCAGCTTGGGTTCTTTTGTTTGATTGGTGGTTTTGTTTTTAGGAGGGAGGAATGCAGAGAACCCAAGAGCCGACACTCATTCGCTCCAATCCAACACCACCACCACCCACGGCTTTATATACTGCCCACTCCCGTCTCTCCATTATATTATTACTTTATATATTATATTTTTTAGATTATTATTACTATACATAATTGATATTATTCTCGTAAGAAATCAGTAATGTAATAAACAAATGTAGGGAGAAAACGACGGTGCGTCGAATTTTTCTTTTAACAGGGTGTTGGGTCAATTGCCTTTTCCTCAAAAAACACAAATATGGTAATTAGGCAATTTCCTTATCCTAATCGCCTGCCTGAAACAATTACGTTTTACTATTTAGTAGATTTATTTTCCAAAATAATTTACTCAGTAATTGGTGTATTTCCTTACCAAATGTTCCTTTTTAGAGGATTGAGTGCTTATCTCGTAGTCGTAGTAATAATAACGAGTTTTCAGGATACCAAGTTGGTATTTTTCACTCTTCTATTTTTCTACAGATAAATTCAAAGTATGTGGTATCTTTTGACTCTTTGTTTAACACACGCATTATTATATCCAACTTACTAGAAACAGACAGAAATGATAATAATAGTCAGTATAATCTTTTCGTGGTATCTTTGTAGACACTCGTTAAAAATAAATAAAATATATATATGACATTTTTCAATGTAAAATTCTTAATTACCCAAAACTCCTTTTATACTGCTGGGTTGATACTCATGTGGTTTTCATTAAAAAAAATGTTGTGAAAAGTCTCATATTCAAGTTACTTTAAAGACATTTCTTATGAAATGTACATAAATAACTACGTTACTGTATAATAAATTATGTAAATTTGTTCAGGCGGTTTCACATTAAGTTTTGTCCCCTACAATTACTTGCAGTTTGTAATCTCCTACGGGGTATATAAATTAGTAATCAATATTAGCCTTAAGTCCTTCTAACTTACTTGGAAATTCATGTTCGTGTCATTATGCATTTTTTTAATTAGTAATTTAATACAGCTAGAGTCTCAAAATAGGGGTGGGAAGCGGTGCGGTCCGGATCAGACCAGACCATAGACATGGTCTGTGGTTCAGACCGAGAGGTAGGAACACAGAATAGACCAGATCAGACCACGCCTGTGTGGTGCGGTTCGGTATAGTCTGGACCAAGCAGACCATGTTAAAAAAAAGCACACTTGTTCCGCCTTCCAACCATTCGTCGGTATCTATAAAAATATAAATTCCAATGACCAATATGCTAGTGAAACAAAAAAATTATGATCGTAATTAAATGAGAGGAAATATATGAGGATATAAGTGTGTTTTTTCAATTTTCAAACTCTCGCTCTAGTCTCCACGGCCCTCTCCAGTATTCCTTAAAAAACAAACACATCAAATAGCATTGTTTCCCTATTCCTCTTGTGCTATCGCTTCTCTCCCTCTATTGAGTAATCCGAAGGTTCTCGTGGTTGATAACCTTTGCGATGACGTCAATGTTGTTTTGAACCACTAAGATGGTTGCTTATCTTTCAATAATTTTCTTATCTCATCAAGGTGAATGAATTTTTCTACTCTTTATGTTTTATCGACTCCATAGCGTAGACATTGTCGGTGAATATTATTTATGAATCTTTCTGGTTTTTGTGTGGTTCTTTGATAAGGAGATAACGCATAAGCGATCATTTGGGCAATTTGTTGGCTCTCAACTGGATGAAGAATCAACTAACTTTGTTCTTCAAATACACAAACGGAGGTTTAATTTAGTGTTATTTGGGTCCAAGTTAGTAGGTAGTATGTTGCGGTCTATTATGGGTTACTGCGGTAGACCGCGGTCCAGACACTTCAGACCACACATTAAAGGAGGAGATCGAAAATCAGACCAAACCATAGTTCTCGTCTCACGATCCAGACCAAACCATATGATACGGTCTAAACCGCGATTTCCCGTACGGTTTGGTCTAGATTCCCAGCCCTATCCCAAAGCAGACATCTATTACAAGGAAGGACATTAATAAGAAAATTAAAGATGCCCAGCACAATCTCTACTTGTGTGATTCTCGTCATTGGAATGATGACTCTTAAGTCTTAACATTTTGTTGCGTTCCCTATAATTTTTATGAATCCCACTAATTATTTTGGGTGTTTGTCAAAATGTAGATTACTAATTATTTTGGGTGTTTGTCAAAATGTAGATAGTATATTACATATGGAAGGATAATTTGCTATCACGAAACTGAAAGCAAACGTATCTTTTGCATCAAGATGTGAGTTCTTGTTTATGATCATGATTTCTTCTTTCCATCCTTCATTCCCAAGCTGCAAGTGGTATTCCCGGCACCTTTCTATTATCTCGTCGCGTGACTATATGTTGAACCACGGTAGGATTTTAGATCTATTTGAATGCATGTTGCAAACTTGCAATAGTACTATTTTCTATTTACAAATGCAAATATAATCTGATTTGCTAATAGGCTAAGCAAAATTTTCAGAACTCACCGCTCACAAGTATCGAATGCCTAACCACTATTTTTTTATTTGTTAGAACCTAGGTGAGGTGGATGTTCTCGTCCTCACAATACCACTAGATCAACCCATTTGGGATTACCACTGAAATATATTGCAATACCAAAGTTGTCAAAGTTTTTTAAAGCATATTCTTCACTTGATAGGCTCGAGAAACCTACATCTCGCTCGATCGTAAGCTTTGTACATATCTAACTTTGCTCCACAATATCTTAGGAATCCGCGACATTTATGGCGAGTGTAATGAAACACCTCACGAGTAACCAAAGCATTATACAAGATGAACCTCCTCAAAAGAAATCACTCTGCAGGGGATGAATGACACTATATAAAAAAAACCTCATAGGGGATGTTAGCAACACATTTAACCATGCTTTCAAAGTCATTTTCATTCTAAACCATGTGAAGAGGTTAGAGGCTAGTATAGATGTTGAAACCTATTGGTCTTGCTCTTATTGGACAATAAAGGAAAACCTTCACGATACCGAGCATTCATAAAATTTATTGACACTATTTAGATTTTTCCTTCGTTACATACGTTATTGACATTGTTTTTTCTTTTCATAATTCCAATTGTCAAATTTCATCTAAATGTCGATGAAAGGACAAACTAAACATCCACATGTTCCATATATTAGTTGAAACTCCCCCCATATTCCTCGAGTTCACATTTTTCTTCACCTAAGCTCATGGCCTTAAACCTTAACTCAGGTTGGTTGAAATGGTGCTGTGCTAAACAGGACGAATGTAACAGAAAACAACAAAGACCGGTGGGAGTTCCTGACATGTCAATCCCTGTCAAGAGAAATATTTTGACTTATGTAATATAATAAAATTATTATAAGAAGATAGACGTGAGGCGAGAAATCTAATCAGAAGATTAATTAATTAAGGAATTAATAGGAAGATTGATTAGAAAAGGCCAAAATTTTCAAGCGGCAAGTTGTGGGCCTTTTCTAAATGGATCAATCCGATCGATGGGTTGCGTAGCGTACTCAACCAAAACTAACTGGCAATGGGCCCGCCCAATTCTTCGTGGCAGTCATTTTCTTTATCGAAATGGGCTGCCTAACGAAGGCGAAATGCTGAACCGGCACGTCTCTTTTCTTCCCTGCTGGCTGCTGTTATGTTCTTCTGTTGGGGACTATGGCACCTAACTAACAATCCCAACCAGTTCGTCGGCTTCTAGTCTGCTACCATGTCACTTTATAACATCTAACCCTAACAGAATATTCAGATCAGATGATGGCTATGGCCTCGAGCTGGCGTAAGGATGGAGTTCAGAAACATTACTTCTCCAGATGGATTCAACCGCGTATACTCTCGATGATCAGACTGCTATACTATTTGTAATATACGATACTTCATGTAATTTTGATGAAATATCTCTATGTAGACAATCAATTAAATTGATTTTGGGGTTTGATTCTCTAACCTAACCTGTAATAGATAAACTTCCGCCTCTTCTCCAAAATTCAAACTCGAAGTTGAGTTTAATAAAAAACAATAAGTAACCATTCGAATTGATCGAAATTTATTGAAATACATCTAATGGTAAGATCACCTGAAGTATACCAGCCGGAGTTGCAGGATATACATTGATACTAAGGTTACATCGCCATCACATCGAATTTAAAGGCAAACATCAAGGCCTGAAGTGTACTAGGCTAACCTGGTTGTGTAAATTAATTATCAAGAATTTACAACTAGCATGGGCCCTCTCACGGATCAAGTTGCATGATCCGATGTTTGGTTTATAAATTCGTTGCATAATATATCGTCGTATTAGAAATATAAATATATGTAAACAAGTTTGGGTATCAGTCATACGGAAATAGAGGGTAAGAGACCCTTCTTAACAGAGAGAGCAACATCGGTGATGGAAAAATCATACGAGGTGAGTTGAAGTGGTGGGTTGTGGTTGCTCTGCTATTGACACATCTTCGTAGATACTTAATTTCAATTATAAGATATCCTTTTGTCACACATCTTCGTAGATACTCAACTTTATAACTGATCACCTCATACATCATGAGTTCCTTTTTCTTTTGCGTCATATACTCTCAAAGTATGACTTTAGCCAACTGATTTGTGTAACTATAAAACGACCGAAGTCTGGGTCATTTGAAATACTTATTTGAACCAGCCAGTAATTTGTGTGGGCCGAGTCTGTACATCACATGGGCCGAATAAACTATTAGGCTCGACGAATTGGGTACTTGTTTAAACTAACCATTTTCTTTGTACAACGGATTGGAAGCTTGAAAAATAGGCAACATCATTTCATCTTCACTCTCATTCCTTTCTTTGTCGAAGAAAAGTGAAGTCTGTGTTCACTGAGCTAGCTGGTTTCTCAAGTTGCAGCGGCTTTGTAGTCGGCGATGGTGAAGGGCAAGGCAGAGGGTCGGGACGGCTGGAGCTAGAGAAGAACCGAAGAAGTGGTGGGTGGTTTCTCAAGTTGCAGCGGCTTTGTAGTCGGCGATGGTGAAGGGCAAGGCAGAGGGTCGGGACGGCTGGAGCTAGAGAAGAACCGAAGAAGTGGTGGGTTGTGGACCTGTGGTTGCTCTGCTATTGACAACATAAAAAAGTAGTGGAAAGATTTGAGCCGACTGAAGTCAGCAACGTTGCAAAACAGGACAGAGGGTGAAAGAGATAGAACGAAAAGGAGAAACCGTTGCAATTAATGATATACTAGCTTATTACCCGGCCCGTTGGCTGGATTACTGTATGTTACCCACTTGTGGAATGGGAGAGAAAGCAAGTGAGAGTGAAGGGATTGGGATTCCACTTGATTAGGACCGACCCACTAATCCAATTCTTCCCGCCCCGCCCCAACCTACAGGGTCAGAAAGAGTCAATAAGAAAATACGAACGGAGAGGATTAGTCATATATCTTGACTCTTCAGAAGTGGGTCAAACGTGATCAAAGTTGGGTGAGGGCAATTTTTAGCGCTAAGCAGAGTTCTGGGTTGAATACCTTTACTTAGGCCTAGAAATTGGTGCTGATGCAGACTGCAGTTTTTATTATACCATCATCAATCATCATTGAAATAGTCCTGGGCATCCCTCCCCGTTGTCGGTCTGAATTCTAATGATGGCTTCCTTGCACCAGCCATATCAGCGAGTTGCCACCTCGAGCATGATTTGCCTATGTACAAATAATACAATTAGAGTATGAAAATGAATTCAATGAAAAGGAAAAGAGAATTCTATCACATGCCAATAAATACACACATAATAGTTGAAGTTAAGTGAAAGTCATTACTCGCACATCAATTCTCAAAAATTACAGACTAAACATTGGCTAGAATGGCACTGAAACTACCAAGAATCATGGACGAAACAACTTGTCAAATTAAATAATCCTTATACTGAAACTACCTTCTAACTTGAAATAAGACATTATCACAGTTCATAGCTCTCTTCTCACTATGAATTGGCTGCAACTCGTCCTTATCACTGCCTCTCAAGCTCAATTCAAACAGAATAGAGACCGTTATGTAAGATAACCATATTCTTACTGATCATAATTCCTTTCTTCACTCCATTTTTGTCGGAGAAAAGAGTTATCCCCCTCTCCTGCATTTCCTTTCCCCCTCTCTTCTCCCTCTTCTTCACAAACCGATCCCTAAACCAGCAACAACAACACAAAAATAGCCTTCGCCTCTCCCGTCTCCATCTATTGAACGCGTTGGTGGCAAGACAGGACTGCAGAAGCAAAATTTTCTAAAATCAAACTAAATTTTTTGAAGCAGACTCAACCACGAAAAAAGAGTAAAGCAACAATGCAGTAGAACCCTAAATTTAACTACAATCAAGCACATATCAGCAAGATTTTCGATTTGTCTGAGAGTTAACTACACGGAGAGAACAATTGATGCATAATTGAAATGCTCCAAGCAAGTTGAAGGTAAACCATAACTTTAGAATTTGATCATTATAATAATCTTCAAGTATTGATGCTTCTAAGAACTATCATGTCCAACCCCCACTTATACAACCACGTAGCCATAGTAATTAGTTGTATAATGAGAAATATTACAAAGAAAACTACATAAACAACCAATGTAAGTAAATATTAAAACTAACAACTGATAAAACTTAAAATCTCTCTATTGGTATAAATGTATCTATTAGTAACTACTATGCAATCGAGTATATATGATTTTTAGGCACTGAATAAGAAAAGTATAGATGGCTCACAAATGAAGACGTAGCAACTGAAGGTAGCACATAAAAACCAAAAATAGAAAAAGAGATAAGAAAAAAGGCGAGAAAAAGTCAAACAAAGAAAAAGCCCACATAGGAATACCTCGCTAGCTTTAGGGACTCTCTGCCACAACAAACAACCTTCTTAAAAATCTAACACCCTGATACATCAAACAAACCTCCCACGACACTAATGTATGGCATTCCTATTGTCCAATAGGTTTGCCCAATTTAGACTTCTAAATAAATGGACTTTTCACCATCAAACCAAAACTCACAATCATTAACAGTTAATGCAAAGACATACATTTCTGAGGCCAATCACATCATTTAAGCATAATTTTTAGTTGAAAAGAACAACTAAGTATTTAGCTAAATGATATAGTAGAATGGACACAATCTACTACCTACTAATGATATAAACGTGTACCGGTACCATCGTTGTATCCTGACTTGCCATTTGCAACGGGCACTTTGAAAGACAGCTGCATTTTAGAGAATAAACACCCATAAGGGCGTTACGAAACCAAGCTTAATCCAAAATCTTCATATTCCACTTCGAAGACTCCATTTTCAAAAATAAGAGAGTTTAACATGTCAAATCACTCATTTGAAAAATCTCAAACAACTATTAATCAATGCAATATAAAGGCACGTTCCAAATTATGTACTTGTAGGAATAATCCCAAATAATTATCAATTAATGCCCCAACTACCTAATGTGCAGAATAGCCCTGGAGCTGTGCTGTTGTTTGCGTTGGTCTACCTTCAAACATAACATAGTTGCATCACGAACCAAAGCAATTAAGCAAAAATCTTCATATTCCAAGTAGAATGACTCAATTCAATTTGGCCAACGCTTTATACATATTGTTTACCCCCTGGACCTGTTGCACTTGCGCCTTCAGATCTTCGTGAACACAATACAATTGCAGAGAGGAGGCTGTCAACGGAATAAAAATTGTTAATTAAGTGAATCACCATACAACTAAACAAATGCGCTGAGGAGATGACCCGGCGAGTAGAATAGGAAGATTTGGAGAGGCTGCGATGGGCAAAGCAGTTAAAATCGAGATTTTACCTAAAATCGAAAACTGGGGTAAAATCAAAATCGTATAATCGAATCGTAAAATCGTAGGATTTTAAGTACCATATAGAACATAGCATATAAGAATATTAATAAGGTAAATTATTAATATCACAAAGACACATAGCATTTAAAATGATAATTCAGAAGTTTTTTTTTCATAAGATAATTCTCAAGATTAATGTTCCAAAATCACTATTTTAATTGTTATTTAATGTGTAACTCAAAATAATTCATGATGAAGGGATATAGTTCATGGGTTTGGCTCCTATTTTCATGTTATGTCTAGGTTGTTTAACTCAAAGTAATATTTCGACATCGTCTACTAAGTATGATTTAAAACTAAAAATAATTGAACTCCAATAAAATAAGTAATGTTAGTGGCTTGGTACAAATATATTCATTAATAAATTAATTAGTTAATAATGATGTTAGTTCTTACATACTTCCAATATTAGGACAGGTGTTTTACCAATAAGTTAAATGGGGTGAAGGGAAAGAGATTAACCGAACCCTAATTTGGTTATTTTTATTATTTTTGAATATTTTTCTAATAGAAAAATATCTGAGAAGATTCCATTGCCCTTTCCGCTGAAACAGTTATACTTATTTTAAATTGGCTCAAACCACCTATTTTGTTCTCTTACGATCAAAATCCCGATTTTAAACGATTTTAAGGTCCACCGATTTTATAGTAAAATCAAGATCGGAATCCCTAAGTAAAATCCTAAAATCCTACGATTTTACGATCAAAATCCCGAATTTGACTGCATTGGTGATGGGTGCACGATTAGTGGGCCAAATAACAGTTTGGGCCCGTTTAAATGAAAACATATTTTTACTTTCGTGCTCAACAGACCGACCGCACTGGCATCTTCTAAATTTACCCCTAAAAAATTGCTCTGTACGCATCAAATTTGAAATGGAATCCCTCTTTTCTCATTTCACATTTCACATTTATATGATGTGTAGATTGTGATGAGTGTAGATGTAGACCTGTCATTGTCCTACAAATTCATTAACACGCCAAAAAGTTGTGAAATGAGCCACCCTATTAAACACAATCTTGTATAATGATCATTGGATCCAATCATGCCAGATTATGAAGAAGTTTAAAATGTAGCGGTTATCCCGACTAAAACATTAAAAGAACCAGTCTCATATTGCACAAAGATATAATTTCTCCATAGTAATTCTGAAAAATAATATTAATTTAAGAAGTCGATATTGCTTCTACATGTTTAATATTGCAATTCGATATGCAATATTCGAACCAGTGATATTTGGGCTGCAATTTTAGGGTTATTGTATATTTATAAAATAGATAGAAATTTAATTGAAGTATTAAATTACAACTAAAATAATCAAAGTATTAAAACACCAAATAAGTACTTACGGGAGATTCAGTGGCCAACTAATCGTTAAAAATTTCATATGATTTTCATAATTTAGGTTCGTGTATGTTTGAATTTAAATAGATACAACAAATATACTTAGTGTGATTGGTTATGATCCTTGCTTGCCTTTAAAGAGACCAAGGTTCAAATCCCAGTGCATACCTTTTTTATGAATAAATAAATAAGAAAATAAGCAATTGTGAAGACCAAAATGTCCTTCCTATAATCACTCTCGTTGCAGGAAATTTGAAATGGAGCAACAGTTTTCATCATGCTTTTATTTATTATCTAGATCTAGATGAGTGTTATGTCTCATTAACTTAGAATGATAATTCCAAATCAAGGAAGGAAGAATGAATGACCCATTAAACATATAATCAACTCGCTTAAATGCATCTCATTTCGATTAATCACTCCTCGCGCTTATTAACGATGTCTAATTTCACATGAACGTCGCCTAAATATTATGAATGCCTAATTATTTACTTAGAATTTAAACGAGATATTTTGTCATTTTCTATCGCTTAAGCGTATGCAGAATTACGCATCGTTAGACCTCTTAAACAACTAAAAAGCTCCTACCAAACCATTACAATCATTTTTGTTAAGAAGGCAAAGGACTGAAAAGTTAAAATCAATGTTTACGGGATTTGAATGTTGCGAAAGTTTGGCACAAGGATTGAATGTGATAATTCCAAAATGTTTCCTTTCTCTTCCTTCCCCATCCTCTGTAAAATATTTTCCTCCGTCTCTCGCACCTCTGACCCTTGAGAAGTAAGATCTTGGCCGGCTCAGAGACACTCTTCCGTGCCCATTGAACAGATCGGAATTGAAGTTCCGGTTAATCTGAACTATCGCGGAAGGTAAACAGATTTGCAGAATTCCTTTGAATGCATCTGTTTTCCGCCCCAAAACCCTAGAATTCTCTCCATCGATCTCTCTTCTGTTGAATCGGGAAAAGCATTAACAGATTGAGCAAAGCTGGAGCAACTCAAATCAATCGGGCGGGAGCTCGCCATGGGCTCCCAAGGTGGGATCGGCCAGTCGAAGGAGTTCCTCGATCTGGTCAAGTCAATCGGTGAAGCCCGATCCAAGGCGGAGGAGGACCGTATAGTCCTCGGCGAGATCGAAACCCTCAAGCGGCGGCTCGTGGAGCCTGGAATCCCCAAGCGCAAGATGAAGGAATACATTATCCGGTTGGTCTACATTGAGATGCTCGGCCACGACGCTTCTTTTGGGTACATCCACGCCGTGAAGATGACTCACGACGATAGTTTGTTCCTCAAGCGAACCGGGTACCTAGCGGTCACTCTCTTTCTCAATGAAGATCACGATTTGATCATCCTGATCGTGAACACCATTCAGAAAGACTTGAAATCTGATAACTTTCTGATCGTGTGCGCTGCATTGAATGCGGTCTGTAAGTTGATCAACGAGGAAACCATCCCTGCAGTTTTGCCGCAGGTGGTGGAGCTGTTGGGCCATCAGAAGGAGGCTGTGAGAAAGAAGGCTATCATGGCTCTCCATCGCTTCCACCAGAAGTCTCCTTCATCTGTTTCCCATCTCGTCTCCAACTTCCGCAAGGTGGGTTGATTACCTCCATCTTCCTATATTCCTTAGAAGAAAGGAATTTCTCTTTGTGGAGTCTGGGGGATTCTTGCTCGTTTTGACAAATAGGTTTACTGTTTACATCATGGCTGAAGATACTCCCTGACTATGTAATGGCTACTCTGTTGAAAGTTTCGAGGAATCAAACTTAAATTAAGAATGGCCATTCCATTTACAAATATAATTCAAGATTGTTGAATTTCTAAGTATGTAGTAACTGCGGTGAACTTTGGTTTACAAGTACACAAAGAATTCCCCTTTTGGTTTCTTTATTCATTCAAGTCATATTTAACAGTTCTCTATACATTTGGAGTTATTTGTTCCAATAATGTGATTATAATGCGAGGTTTTTTACTGCAGAGGCTATGCGATAATGATCCTGGTGTCATGGGTGCGACACTTTGCCCGCTTCTGGATCTTATAAATAGAGATGTTAGCTCGTTCAAGGATTTGGTGGTCAGCTTTGTCAGCATACTTAAACAAGTAGCTGAACACAGATTGCCGAAGACCTACGATTATCATCAGCTCCCAGCTCCATTCATACAGGTCTTCCAATCTGCTTTGTTTTCTAGACAAGGAATAGAGAGGGCTCAAAATTTGTTTTTCATATTGGTAGCTGCTGAATGATATGTATCTCCTTTCAGATGGGATTTACTTCTGCATAGGTCAGAAAGCATTCCACTAAGCAGGGGATCCATGCTTAAGTATTAGTCTTTGAGTGGAGTAACAGCTAGGGGATAGACTTCTAAGAGTTCTGTGCGTCCTTTACTGGATTAGACGTGGTTGATATTCAATATGGATAGCAGTATTGCAGTTTGATTGTGGAATCCATTGTTATAATTCGAATCACACAGGGGGTGCATTCCAATTGGCAGCAATTGTTTTGGGGTAGACTTGGAATTTAGACTGTGTCCACATGTTATCAGTTTATTGACATAGACGCTTCGTATTGATAATACCTACAATTCCCTGATCGCGGGAAGCATTGTTACAGATTGACTTTTGTAAACAATGAATACAGTAGAAATCGAATTAGGGAAAGGCCTGGTATGATCTGAACATGTAAAGAACTTAATTTGTTATACCCTTATTCTCACCCTTTATGCCACTACAGTCTGTTAGTAGAATTGAGACGTCTGGTTGAACTTTTGTTTTAATTCTTGGAATTAAGACGACGTCCCAGGACTCACCACTCTGTTGGATGATATGCATAACAATGAACACTGAATGTGTGATGCTTCTGCTGCATTGTCAAATTCTATTCACTGATTTTTGAACTGGTAGCCTTACCTGTGAGTAACCTCCCCCCCCCCCCCCCCCCCCCCCCAAGTTGTAATATGCCATACTTAAATGCCAGTATTCTACACTCAACAATAAAACGCTCTTATTCCAGTAATTATTGATATGGACAGGTCAGTGATGTCTTCCTCTGAAGTGCTAATTTCTCATCTCTATATTATTAATCTCCAATTTTTCAGATAAGGTTGCTAAAAATTCTGGCACTGCTTGGAAGTGGTGACAAGCAAGCAAGTGAGCAAATGTACATGGTTGTTGGTGACATATTCAGGAAGTGCGATTCTTCAAGCAACATAGGAAATGCTGTCCTTTATCAATGTGTTTGCTGTGTATCTTCAATACATCCTAATCCTAAGTTGCTTGAATCCGCTGCTGACGTAATAGCAAGATTCTTAAAGGTTCCACATCTTTCATTCGCTGATGATCACCTTTTTGAAACGTTGGGGTTTCCTAGACTGTAGAAATGTTTTTTTTATCTTCGTTTAATATCCACGTTAATTTTGTTTACAGAGTGACAGCCATAATCTGAAGTATTTGGGTATAGATGCACTTGGGCGATTGATAAAATTGAGTCCAGAGATAGCAGAACAACACCAGCTTGCTGTGATAGATTGCTTAGAGGTGATACTCTTCCTTTGACATGCTTATTTTATGAATGCCACTAATGGATCGATCAGCTTGAGTGCTATTGATCTTGGGCGCTCTTCAATCGTCTTTTTTGCAACAAAGAGAAATTTGAAAGACGATGAATATACGGTACTTTAATAGGATCATTCTCCTAGTACTGTTTTTTGTTTTCAGAGAAAAACATGGTTAAGTTCATCATAGTTTTAGAGAACTAGTTGTTGGTAGAGTAACATGGCTCCCATGGTTGTTTTGTTAGTGACGAACCAAACTTTTTGTAGATGTGTAGGTTTTAACTGTTGCTTTTTGTGTAATGGTGATCTTAATTGATGCACAAAGAATTCATGAGTTATTTTTTCCCTCTCTACCCTGAGCAATAGAAATGGACTGAACTTGATTACTTATATCAAGTGTTGAAAGAAAGATTAAAGGATAGGTGATTTTGGGCAGATACACCCTACTTGATCCATATCTTAATGACTGCTTATAATGATGGCTAATCTGTTACTGTTTTGGATGTAATCGGTATATTGTACAATACTCAGGACCCAGATGATACCCTAAAGCGGAAAACCTTTGAGCTGCTGCACAAGATGACAAAGTCCTCCAATGTGGAAGTCATTGTTGACCGCATGATTGATTACATGATCAGCATAAATGACAATCATTACAAGACCGACATAGTATCTCGATGTGTTGAACTCGCAGAGCAATTTGCACCTAGCAACCAGTGGTTTATTCAGGTAAATGTTTAATTGTATTTTCCTTCTTAATATCTCCTCTAAGTTGGTTGGGTTTTACACACTGCATCTTTGTTCTATCAACTGATGGAACCTAGCTGCACAGACCATGAACAGAGTCTTTGAGCATGCTGGAGATCTGGTGAACATCAAGGTTGCCCACAACTTGATGCACTTAATTGCAGAGGGATTTGGGGAAGATGATGATACTGAATATACTCACCTGAGATCATCCGCTGTAAGTTCTGTTATTTGCGTATGAACTATTTATGTGTTGGTAGGGTATTCTTCACTGACTGAGCGATGCTAAATTTTTTTAGGGTAACACTGCTCCTCTGAGTGATTTACTTGTTCTGTGCAGTTTCAGATGTTAAAAATGCTAAATATATCTTTGTAATGCTTGAATTAATACTGCAGCCTTCTGTGGGCGGTTTGAAAAGAACATGTAAAGAAAAATTAGTGATCTGTAACATTGTATTTCTCTGCCCATTATGGTTACCTGGCCTTTCACCCCTAATAAAGCTGCAAGTAAAACTTTTTGGCATTTTGCGATCTTTGTGCACTATGGACATTGATTGGCACTTCTGTAATTGAGCAGTTTTCACAACTTTTTCAATTGAGTGGCTAGATTAGGTTGACGAAATTCAAGTTCTCCAACATGCTATCTCATAATAGTCATACAACTTGAAATGGCCAAATCTCTCCTTGATATTTAGTTTTCAGAAACTATGGGTTCCTTTGTAGTACCAGTCGCTGTCATATTATTGATGCACCTGCTTTCTATGTGATCGACTAACATCACTTTTCCCTGCAGGTGGACTCGTATTTGCGAATTATAGGAGCACCAAAGCTGCCATCTGTTTTTCTTCAAGTACGTTGACCGCTTCCAGTTAAGTTTACTTTCTTTCTAAATTGTTATTACCACATACAGAATTAAACCTCCTGCTACCATCGGAATTCTCATTACAGGTTATTTGCTGGGTATTGGGCGAATATGGAACAGCCGATGGAAAGTATTCTGCATCATATATTACTGGGAAGTTGTGTGATGTGGCTGAGGCGTACTCAAACGATGAAACTGTCAAGGTATCAGTCATTTTGTAAACGCCTTCTTAGCTGGAGGCAACATGATGTGCCTAGGGTTTATTAGGCAGAGAGAATGTAGGTACGATAGAGCTCTGTTTTTAGCTGCTGGAAATTCTATGAAATAATGGAAAATGGGCTTTTTTGGGAATAAGGGGGCTGTCTCTCCAATCCAGGGGCAGGATTGACGGCTAATGAATAGTTTACTTTTTTTCTCTAAGCCTCAGTGTTTCTCCAGAGGCACCGAATAAATTGATATGGGGTTCATCACTTTTTTATAGGACGAGGTTTCTGTAGTTATGACTTTACCCATCCTAGAAAACATTGCTGAACAACAATCTTCTCAGTGGTAGTGCTGCACCTGGTCTTTCTTCAGCTTTTCGTCTAATCCTTATTTGTCAGTAATCATTTTCTACATAGTCTTCCAATATCACTAATTATAGAAGTTTGTATACCTCAATATTGTTTTGTTTGCTTATGTGGTTATGAGAGTAATATACAAGCAAATATTCTTGCTGCAATTAACATTTTCTTCCATTTCTGAAGGCTTATGCAGTGACGGCACTTATGAAGATATATGCTTGTGAGATGGCTGCTGGGAGAACAGTTGACATACTACCTGAGGTAGTCTCTTCTACCCTTTTTTTTATGCTGTAGCGGAATCCACTATTTTATATTATTTTCTTTCCAGTTACATTTTCCCCCCACAATCTTATTTACGATATTCCAATTAGTTTCTTGAATTGTTTACTGCTTGCAGAAGTCTTACTTATTCTCCACCCTGGTAGGAGTATTAGAACCCCTCTTCTGCATCATATTTGATTTGTTAGCTGGCTTCCAGAGTAGAAACTGCTATTCTTTTGTCTAACAGGGAATCATGTATTGGCTGTACTGAACCTATACTGCATCACGATTCTGAAATTTAGACTATTGAGCCGTATAGAAGTATGCTTAGTTCTTCTAGTGAATTCATTGTCGCTTGGAAGCAATCAGGTCAAAGAAGGTTGAATTGCAGTTTCTGCGCTCAATAGGGTTGTTTAGCATTCCTTAGCCATCATTATGTAGCTTTTGGATTGGATGCTTTTGAATTAATGAATTTAGCGGAACTTGAAAGACAATTCCATTATCTGATTTTATTCAGAAAACCTTTTGAATTGTAGGGTGAATGTTGATTTTTTTTTTGAAACATGGACAGCTACATATTTTTTTTTGGGTAGAAATGGACAGATACATTTGAAAAATGATTAACTGTAGAGATGAGTAGGTTCAAAAGTCCTTGTTTTTGGATGATTGATTCAAGGGGGTGAATTGTTTAAAGTGGGTCCCCAATTTTTTTTCTCAATTGTCACTTTTCAAACAGATTTCGCCATCCCTGATCTTGGGTGTTTTTGACGTGGTCACATTTTTTGTTATCCAAACGGGTGATTTTGGAAAGTCCATCAATTGAGCTCAATCTGCCTGCAAATCACTCATCCAAACGACCGACCACATAGACCTCTCACAAGTAAAGATAACTCAAAAATCAAAATGCAACTCGTGCTCTACTTTGTCTTCCACATTTACATCAAACATATTTCTAGGGAAAATATAGCTTCCTTTTTTCTCGGTCGGCATTTCTGTTGGTTATTCTATGGTAGTTCTACTATGTTGCCAGTGACTTTCTGTTACACTTTGGCCCTTTTCTTTCCATTTGTTATACATCTTTTGGTTGTCTCCGGATCAGTAAAAGTTTATTCTGCCATTCCTAACTCTTAGATAATTGAATGCAGTGCCAAACCCTGATCGAAGAATTGTCAGCTTCCCACTCAACTGACTTGCAACAGCGTGCATATGAACTTCAAGCTGTCATTGCCTTGGATGCTCAAACTGTCGAAAACATCTTGCCATCAGATGCAAGTTCTAAAGAGATTGAGGTTGGTTTCTTCTAGCATCTACGATTTTCAATGGTGAATTGAAGTGCTTGTCTTTGTTATTTATGCATTCTATATTCCTGGAGGTTCCTTGAGTAAAATGTTGCTTAGCTTCTATCATATTTTAAGCGCCATGCTTTTTCCAACTCGCACCACGGTTGTTGGCTTGCTTTCAATGACATCTGTCTTTTTCTTAGCAGTCCATGATGGACTGCGTTGATATTTTATGAACTTTTAGCATCCTTTAAACCAGCTTCTTTGCAGTTGACTGGAATGTGATACCCTGAGATTTAGTTGAATGAGATGTCCAAAATTTTGCTAGTGCTGAATTTTTACAAAATGACCCGAGCCTTTTCCTTCTGTTTGCAGCTTATTGTACTATACTAAGACCTTTTCCTTCTGTTTGCAGATTGATAAGAACCTTCCTTTCCTAAATGATCATGTTGAACGTGCAATAGAAAAAGGAGCTCAACCGTACATCCCAGAAAGTGAACGGTCTGGGTTTTCAAGTGCCAGTTACTTGAACAGGCAAGACCTGTATGAAGTTCCTCCTTCACATGGCCTTAGGTTTGAGGCCTATGAGCTTCCAAAGCAGCCCTCTGTGCCCCTTACAACTCCTCCTGTATCTATTGGATCATCCAATGAACTCATTCCAGTTCCTGAACCGACCTACAACAGGGGGACTCAAGCAGCCGTGTCTCTTCCATCTTCATCCAATGCAGGACCTGCAGAGGTCAAGTTACGACTTGATGGGGTTCAAAAGAGGTGGGGTCGGCCAACTTACTCCTCTTCTTCAGCCTCCACAAGTGCTGCTGCTTCACAAGATACCGTCAATGGGGTGACTCCACCGGATGGAGCAACAACAGTTACTCCTGCTATTTCTAAAGGACGAGAAACTACTTATGAACCAACAAGGAAGACACAGCAAGCAGTAGAAATATCTCCAGAAAAGCAGAAGCTTGCAGCATCACTGTTTGGAGGTTCATCGAAACAAGAAAGGAAGTCGTCTTTAGGCGGCGGCCACAAGACTGCAGCCAAGCCAACTGGTGGCCATGCAGTTGAGGCGCCGGCTAAGAAGATGGCTGCTCCTGTTCAGCAGCCACCACCTCCAGATTTGCTCGACTTGGGCGAAATGACTGTAGCAACCACGGGTCCATTGATTGACCCATTTAAGCAGTTGGAAGGGCTGCTCGACTCGGTTGAGCTAGCTTCATCTACCAAAAATCACGTTGATGTCAGTGCCGCGAAAGGACCAGATGCTATGGCCTTTTACGGGGACTCTGCTACTACTGTCGAGCAAGGGGGGCATCATTTCTCGAGCATTGACGATGTCGATAATCTAATGTCTGGTTTGTCATCTGCAACAACAGACGCGTCCTCAGGAGGAGGGATTCCAACTTCACAACTGACCACCCAAAACAGTAAAGGTCCGAACCTAAAAGACGCCTTGCAGAAGGATGCATTGGTAAGGCAGATGGGTGTGAACCCATCTAGCCAAAATCCCAACTTGTTTAAGGATTTGCTTGGCTGAGAGTTTGAGATGCTGGTGTAGTCTTCTTCGCTCAAGATCACTTGGTACATGCACTACTCAAATTATGAACCGATGACGGGCAATGAATTTCGAAGTGCCTACGCAACTCTACCGCAGTGCAGAACAGTGGAGGAACGTGCTGATAAACGCGAGCTCAATGCCATGCCGCGCCATGGAGAGGGAGTGGCTGGTTGGTTAAAGATCAGGTACAGGTTTTTATGTATTTTGGTGGTGGACAAAGAGAGTATAGCGAGTTTGTTTTTTCGGTTTGGCTGGTCTAGAAACAGGGAATTGACTACTAGTAGTGTACATGATTGAGGTGGGATGGATTCATTCATTCCCCACAGTTTTTTTTGGCCTGAAATCAGTGGCGGAGCAGTGCTCGTTTTGATAGGGGCAACCTTCTCTCAATGGATTCCTGCCTTCTTTTTCTTTCCTTGTATCAGTATCACTACCATAATCATAATGTACGCTTGTCTTCCTCTTTCTCTGTGCTTGACCCATATTGACTTTCCTTTTGGGGCTTAAAATCTTGCGTGGACCTTTTTTTTACTACAGTATCAAGAAAATTGAGGAAACTTGGATACCGGTACTCGTGGATAATTTTCTTTTAAATATTCAAAGTCAGGATTAGTACACATGGGTAAGGACATAATCCCGGTATAATTTTTTTTTTTATAGGGAAGAGATAATCCTGATCAGTTGAACCAAAGTCGTTCAATCTTAAATAGTTGAACATGAAATTAATTCCTTTATTTTTTTCTTCTCCATATGCGGTCCTCAAGAAACCTTCGAAAATGGTTGTTAATAATTTATTATACGCGGAATGGGCTAGTATAATTACTTAATTAGCATCAGACCCCGCGTAGACATACAGATAAGTGAATAATATAATAATAAATAATAACAGTTACAAATTGTTTTTGAAAGGAAATTACAGCTATATTTGAATTTCAGATAATATTATATTTTACATATATATTTTAATGCATGCATCGGAGTGGCTAACTAGGCTTATTCAGTACAGAAGATAACTACAATTTCCGCGTCTTTCCTTTTTCCCGCTCGGTCGCTTCCTTCGATCTCCACTCCCAATGGCGGAGGAGCAACCGCCGACGGCGCTGCCTCTTTCGGACACAGGATCGGAAGCAGCGGCGGAACCAAGATCGATGATCGATTCTGATGATGAATGTACAAGGCCGAGCCGCCAGCACGAGCAGCAACTTCCGACGAGGACGAAAAACTTGTTCGACATCGAGGCCAGCGGCGGCGGCGACGTTCCAGCCCGGGCGGCGGACTGGGGGACGATAATGAGGCTGGCGTTTCAGTGCATAGGAGTGGTGTACGGTGACCTGGGAACGTCGCCGTTGTACGTGCTGCCTGGAATTTTCCCCGATGGAATCAAGCACATGGATGATCTCCTCGGAGTGATGTCCCTGATTATTTACTCCATCCTCTTCATCCCTCTGCTCAAGTACGTCCTCATCGTCCTCTCTGCCAACGACAATGGCGAAGGTACAACGTGCATGATCGAATTCATGAGTAATAGATTCGTTTTTTTCATTTATAATTTGGGGGTTATTGAAGATATTTGAACTTAAACCTTCAATTCAAAACTCTAGACTAAACTCTTGTTCGTATAGTGGTAGCGTTTTTACGCCTGATTGATTTTTTGATTGTACCTGTGGTTAAATTTCGATCTCGACATTGATTTTTTAGCTTACAGATTGATGTTCTGTAAGCACAAATATTTTTTAATACGAATATCATATTGTATATGCTGAATTTATGAAACAACATTAATAAAATTTTGACTCGACAGACTAACTTTCTATGGACTAGTCTGAATGATTATAATCGAGAAAATTACGTAAATCTCGATTTTGTTAATTCTTACACTTACCCGCTCTTCCCAATCACAGGAGGAACATTCGCCCTGTACTCGCTCCTCTCCCGCCACGCTAAGATCAACCTCACGCCAACTCGCCAGATCGAAGACCAGAACGTCTCCAACTACAACCTCCCAACCCCAAACCGCCGCAACCAGCGCGCCTCCGCGCTCAAATCCGCCCTCGAGACCAGCAAGCCGACCAAATGCCTACTCCTCCTCATGACAATGCTCGGCGTCTCCATGCTAATCGGCGACGGCATCCTCACCCCAGTCATCTCCGTCCTCTCCGCCGTCAGCGGCGTCAAGCAGGCCACCGCCGCACTCGACGACGCCGCCGTCATGTGGATCTCCGTCGCCATCCTCGTCCTCCTCTTCCAATTCCAGCGGTTCGGCACCGACAAGGTCGGCTACACGTTCGCCCCTTTCCTCGTCCTCTGGTTCTTCTTCCTGGCGGCGATCGGGATCTACAACTTCGTCAGGTACGATCCGGCGGTCGCGCTAGGGTTCAATCCGTGGTACATCGTCAGGTACTTCGAGAGGAACGGGAAGCGGGCTTGGGCTTCGCTGGGAGGCGTGGTCCTCTGCTTGACTGGGGCCGAGGCCCTGTTTGCTGATTTGGGCCATTTCCATATCCGGTCCATTCAAATCAGCGCCTGCTCTGTTCTGATACCGTCGATACTGCTGGCGTATTTGGGACAGTGCTCTTACCTGCGTGTCCACCCTCAGGATGTCGCCACTGTCTTCTACAGCTCCATCCCTGATTGCAGTAAGTCACTAGCTCTCGTATTAAACTGTTAATACGTGTCCGTTGTCTCCTATCGTTTTAAGATGAATCTGATGATGAAATTGATTAGTACTTAGAGCATGGTGCATTGAACAAAAGTGTACACAATGTGTTTGATTTGGTTTTTGCAGAACCGTTGTACTGGTCGCAGTTCGTGGTGGCGGTGCTGGCGGCGGTGATAGCGAGTCAGGCGATCATATCGGCGTCGTTCTCGATCGTGCAGCAAGCAATGGCGATGGGTTGCTTCCCGAGGGTGAAAGTGGTTCATACCTCGGCCAAGTACGAAGGGCAGGTTTACATCCCAGAGATCAACACTTTCCTCATGCTGGCCTGTGTTGCGGTTACCCTTGGCTTCAAAAACACCGTGAAGATTGGCAATGCCTATGGTACGTAACTCTATTTATGTATACCAAGCTTCATGTACACATTTTGGAGCATAATAACAATGGTGATCAGTGATGTAGCGAGAATTTTGTTTAAGGTGGGTCCAATTCACAGTATACTAATGTAATTACAAATTTTGGCGGGTACTTTTGGCAGGAATCGCCGTAGCGATGGTGTTCGTGCTCACATCATGCTTCATGATCCTGATAATGGTGCTGATATGGAAGACCCACTTCGCACTGATACTCCTCTACTGCCTCACCATCGGCCTCATCGAGCTCGCCTTCTTGTCCTCTGTCCTCTACAAGTTCGACCAAGGCGGGTACCTTCCTCTGGCCTTCGCACTCATCCTCGTCTCGATCATGCTCGTGTGGAGCTACGGCTACCACAAGAAGTACAGCTACGAGCTTCAGAACAAGGTATCTCCCGACCAGCTCGCGCGAATCGTCACAGATCCAAGAATCCTCCACGTTCGAGGATTGGGGCTGTTCTACACCCAGCTGGTTCAGGGCGTTTCCCCTGTATTCACCCACTATGTAGCAAGAGTACCCGTCCTTCACTCGGTCTTGGTGTTCGTCTCCATCAAGTTCTTGCCCATCAGCAGGGTTCCCTTGGAGGAGAGGTATGTATGCACGTCAAATGAATGCTCTCTTTTTCACCTTGGTCATGGTAATTTCTCATTGCTGCAACTTTTGCCGGCATTGTAGGTTTGTCTTTGAGGAGGCCTTCAAGTCGGAGAGGCAGCTGATCTTTCGGTGCGTAGTGAGGTATGGGTACAAGGATGCAAGGAAGAAGGAAGATGGGTTTGAAGGGATGTTGGTGAGGAGGTTGAAGGAGTTCATCGAGACCAGTACTGTGAGAGATGATGTTGATGAAGGAGTCCTCGAAGGAGATGGAGTCATGGAGGTTGGGAGGCAGATTGGGATGGTTGATGAGGCGATTAGGGTTGGAGGGGTTGTTTATGTGCTGGGGGAGAGCCAAATTACGGCGGCCGCCGCCACCGGCGGGGAGGAGGGGAGGAAAGGTTGGAGGCTGTACATGAAGAAAGTGACGTTGGGTTGCTTGTATAACTGGTTGAGCAGGTGCGTGAGGCAGCCTGATGAAGTTTTCATGATTCCTCGGCAGAGCCTCCTCAAGGTTGGGATCACCTACGAGGTCTAGCATTCATGTGTTCCTTTCAGAAAGAATACAAGTTAAAGATAGTAGGAAAACTTTTTTTGTGGATGAATATTTGGACAGTGAGACTTATTAGTTCCATACCATTGAATTTCGTTGATTGTAGTATTCTTGCAAGCTTAATGGTTGGAATATATATGATTATAATCGTTGAGGAATGTATTTTTTATTATGGAGATGTTTTAATTGTCACTATTACGCGTCCAGATTAAACTGATCAGTTACATAAATTAGTGATCATTCTAACCATATTATACGTTAATCCCAAGCCATAATGTGCATGTTGATTCCCGGTTGTGAGTCCATCTGCTGCTCTCTTGAATCTTGATCACCACTACATCCCAATAGATCTACGAGATCGTTTGATGATAGAATTTGATGAAGCAATTTAGGTTAATTGTTAAAAGTGCGATAATTAGGTCAAATTGTCTTGATAACACAGAATAGGGATGCGACAATGAGGTTGGGACAATTTGAATCGCTTTGTGTTTCATCAATTTAATTTAATAGGAAGAAGCAAGTATTTCAAAATGTTGCATAGGGTCTAATTGTCTTATTTCTGAAATTCATCGTCCAAACGGATACACAGCATGGGAAAATAAACAAAACTTTCCGTGACCTAAATAACGTTTTACCATAATTAAGTGACGCGGGTAGCAACTTCACACTGGACGCAGAAGTTCAAAATCACAATCCAAAAACACCTCAAATCAGTTTTCCCACTCTTTCCCCTGTTCGCCTCTGTCGTCTCGTCTCCTTTCACTCACTGGATGCTGGAGAAAAGGGAAATTGGGAGGATGGAAGGTTCAAGTTCCAGGGAGTCCGGTCTCATGAAATCTTTCAGCCTTGCGATTCGTTCTATCCTCACTGGGTGCTCTAATGAGGTCCTGTTCGTCCCTCCTTTTTTCATCAACAAGCTGAGGGAACACTTCCCCATCGCGGCAGGCAATGAAAGGGCAAATCTTGTGGATGTATTTTATTCATGCAGGAATTTCTGAAAGCCTTCTCGAGGTTTAGCCGTCCAGAGCAGGAATTGCTCCGCAGATTGTACATTCAGGTACTTCGTCTCCTTCCCCTTCCATTATGCTCCTCTCCTGCGTTTTCTCATTCCGGAGTTGTTTGTAGCAAAAGCATTGGCAATAAGATCTTACCTCTTGGAACCCTAAAATTGACTTCTTACATCTAGCAAGCGGTGAACAGTGCTTCTAGAATCGTGTGACTGTTATGTTGGAATTTCTGAACAAGTGAGGTCTAGGGTTTGTCATAATGCTTCTTGTACGCAGTCTACTCTTTTTATTTTCCGATCACTGTGCTGTAAAATTAACTTCTTGACAAACTTACTTCCAGAGTTACTCTGCTGTTCTTGAACCAAGTGATTACCAGCCGTGACTGATGAATGTGTGCATACTACGCCGACTGTCTGTAGAGTTATAGCTGGATCTAGTCAGAGTATGCTTATAGAACTTTGGTGCTAATAATCATTTGCATGGTGTTGAATTTGCAGGTTGTTGCCTCTTTGCACCTAAGGATAGAGGTTTGCTCTCCATTCACTACTTCCTTAAGTTTGTACCATTAGCATGCAGTGGTTGAGGCCTTAAATAACTCAGTCAGATTACTCCTTACTCACAGGCGTTATACCGGACTGTCAACAATTTGATTATGCACCATGTTTCCTAGTGAGAATTTAGTTCTCTTTGTGTTGTTGATCAATGAAAAATATTACCTTGTTATGTCAGTCAAAGCAGTTATAAAATACTGATAACTCATGGGAGTATAACTATAGCTTTCAGACAGCATATTGACTAACTGTACTGTCAGGACCTTATAAAAAACTGTAAGTAATTCCACGAGCTTCTTTGTGAGTTTTGTAGTTGAACAAAGGTAACCTCTCTTTCCTATCAGAAAGGTTGTGATGATGTTCTGGACTGCTTTACTACTCACAGACTATGACGTGGAACTAACAGTTAAGAAGTCTGGTTGCCTTAGTTTTAGGGAGAAAAAGGGGGAAATGTCCTGTTTTGTCTAGATACTGGGTCTGCGGTGACGCTGTCTTACGTCAGTTATAAGAATTATAGTTCAAATCATGCTCTTAAACATTTGTAACATATCTTTCTTGTTTAGTTGGCTTTGCATAATTGTTGGTTTTGTTGCCCTTTTGACAGAACGAGTTTCACGATTTGTGCAGTCAGTTGCAGGTACAGTTTATTTTCTCTCGTTCTTGATAATAGCTGGTAGCGAGAACCCATCAGATTCAGGTGTTAATTTGTGGCGAGATAGTAGATGTCATTAACCCACTCTGCATGTATCTTGTTCTGCATTTAATTTATGCTTCTGAGATTGACTAAAATAAGTTTTACCCAAACGGATTCTCATTTTGATAAGAGGTTAGCATGGCTTGAGAATGCTACTTTGATTGCTGTACAAAGCATGATCAAAGAATAGGAAAATGATAACGTAGTCTCTTTGTGAAGCTTTGGTGCTATGTACATGGCTAAATGCATTAACATCATACGAAGACCTTGATTCACATTTTCTAGTTGTAAAAGTTCTTTCAATGGCTTCTCTAAATGGAGACTCCAATCTCTTTGTAAAGATTCAAAGGGTGGTTTTCGTTTTCCCTCTCTGTAGTTTCATTTTACTCTTATGTTTTCTTTGGTTTCTTAATTGCTTTATATCAAGCACTGGAATTCAGTTGCTGGATTCATAATTCTCTTCTTTTAACCTCCAGCCCTCCAGCTCTTGATTCAATAGGCTCGCTTTTGTCAACCCCCCCTCTCTCATCGTGTAAGGATTACTTGTTTTGACAGGTGGGGTCCATTCTTGATGCCGCGGAGCAACTTGTGGAGGAACAGACTTTGGACCCTTTGTTCCTAGATAAGTATGCACCGTATCAACTATCAAAGCAATCACAATTCTCTGCTATGTGAACCTGTAAACACATTTTGACTAAAGGTGTTGTTTAAACTTTGAAAATTTGAATGATAAAATTAGCAGACGAGATTTTTGAAAATTGATCAGTGTCAATAAGAAATTAGAAGTAACATGGTATTTCTGCTTTAGATGTTTAGTTGAAGTGGATTGCCTTCTGCACAGGAGTAATGTCATGGATGTCTCTTCCAGTTTGTCAAATGCGAAAGAGGAGGAAATCCAATACCTGTCGGTCATTCTGCAAAAGGTTGGTATTTTGGTATCAGCCTCTCTAGCAGCTTTGCAGGTCTTAGTCCAAGTAATTAATTAGGACATTAAACTCTATGACTGATAGAACCTGGGATTAGGGTTCTATCGAGAATTGGGGATTTAGGGATTAAGAACAGAATTAGGGATTTGAGAAAGATAGATAGAGAATCGGCCTAGGCCTTTAGAGGGATTGGGAACGAGAATTGAGAGGATTAGGAGAATAGGGTTTAGGAAGGCTTTTCTTAATATTCTTCTTATTGATTATGAATGAATGACCAATTACATATTTATAGCGAAATACTAGAAAAACCTAATAGACTATCCTAATATGACTCAAAGACTAATAACCATATCTAGATAAATCCTAATAATATTAATATTGATAATTATGGTTAAACCTAAAAAGTAGGTTTCTATCAATGACTCGTACCTGTTACACACAGAATCATAGCCTCAACTTCCAAAAGATAATCTTCTGCTTTGTATGTTGGATTGGGAAAAGAGGAAAAAATTTACGAGGAACAAATAGGGAGGGAGTAAAATTTTCTCCTCCACAAGTCCCCATGCAGTTCATGTTGTTTCCACAGCTATTGGGGGGATATCACCTCCTGACTAGTTTTAAATTTTAATCAACTTTGCTGTTAATTGTCGTTTTAATTCCATTCTAAGGATGCTTTAGAATGCACCCATGCCTTGTTCTGGATGACAATTGATCACATGCAGAACAGTTTCCTAGGCATACGAATATGAAATCTTTGCTGACAGAATCTCGTTTTTTCTTTTTACCAGGCAGAAGAACAGAATCGCACTACGCGAGATCGTATCGAGCTAATAAAAGCAGCAAACAAGGATGTCCCTAGGGCTAAGATTTTGTAAAGGTTCTACGCTTCTTCCCTAACCCTTTTGGACAAGGTTATGATGTTCCATATATCGTTTCAGAACACTGTTGAATTGTTGATTGGGCAAACTGCGTTTATTCTCGGATAGAAACATCGAGTAATGCTAAATGTGATGCAGTGTCTATATATGTTTGTAGAGTGAACATCAAAGACTGATGGGAATGAGCCAGGCAATGAGGGAGAGTAATGACTTGTTGATAATATGGCTGATCTTTGAACTTTGTAGCTGTTGAATAGTGGGTCAACGATGAAGTTGTCTGCAATATGACGAATTCAATGCCGTGGCAAAAAATAAATCTAGAGTAGTTTGCTTGTTGTTGAAAGTGACCCTTTTGGTGGTCACATGATCTGGATCTGACTCTGAATGGCCATTGTAAGATAAACCGAGCATTGTAACGAAGAAACAGGAACAGAGATTAGTTGTTTCCCTCTTTTGAAGAGAAAAGGAAAGAGCTGAAGTTTGCTTCTCTCCCCCCTTCTTTTCAACAGCAACTTAGAAAGCCGAGAAGAGTACAACAGCTTTTATAGCATGACAAAAAGAAAGTTAGCTGAAATTTTAAACCCACCAAAAGAAGAAAGTTCTACTGATTGATCTATGGGTTTTTTTTAATGGAACTGATCAATTTGCTTCCACTGATTATGCTCATCATCAGGGCCATAAACTCCAGTTTCATTGACTTGGTATCCCGTGACTGAGTACCCAACACCGTATCCTCTCTCAAAGTAGGCCAGAAAAGAAAGACGCTTGTCTTCCAACGCGAGGTCGCACCAATAAGGTCCCCGCGGGACGTCGTGGACGTCCTCGAAACTCCAACTGTAGACCTCGCCGAAGTTCATGGCGCCGGCCCCAACGTCGTGGTCTGGGGCTTCACAATGGACTATCAGCATCTTCTTGCTGTTCAGCGCGTTGGTGATGTTGATGATCCGTGCATCGCTGATTAACCGCCGTGCCATAATAGCGAGAGTAATGATCATTGTGGCGATCATCAGCTGCTGCTTCTTCCCGCTGATCACCATTGTCATCGTCATCATCATCATCATATATGGAGGTAGCATTTTACTTTCTCTCTTTTTATACACGCAGCAATATTGGATGAGTAATAGACAAAAATAGGGATCTTTGAGACGACGGTGTCCTCTCCGTCGCTCTGCTCTTGCGGTGGCGTACGGCTCTCAGGCTCCGTCTTAATCACAAGACAATTAACAATCCCATTTCAATTGGCCTCTATTTGGAAGTACCATCGCATCAAATCCGTCGCCACCGTTGAAACCCCCTCCACCCACCGCAAGTCTCCACCCTGCTTGCGGCGGCTGCAATCAGACAATTCCATTGGCAACTGAAATTGAGTGGGAAGCACAGGCGGAGAGAGAAGAGGCTGCGGAGTCGGCTCTGAGATATCTCCCGCCGTCGATGGACCCCTCCAGCCGCTGCCGTCTCACCCGACTGTGGCGGGAATTGGAAGGGCTTCCGCAAGCAAGGGTGCGATTAAAATTATTTTTAATTGGATTATGATTAAAAAATAATAAAGAAAATTAATACTAAACGAGGACATTTGAGTCATTTTGCAGCACATTTAATGGTTGATTAACAGATAATTAGAATGTAAATTTGTTACATTGTTAAGTAGAAGTACATGTTTGTGCAAAGTATTATTAGGGAGATACGTTTGTTAATTTGCTATGGTAGAGGAGTACAAACTGCTGTTAAATTGTTAATCCAGCTTAAGCAAACTCGGGTTTGTCAATTAAGCCACCGACGGCTTGCCAGTTGACTGGTGTCTGAGAGTAATATTGTAGCGGACAAGCAGTGGGCTTTTCTTCTTCTGCGATCCTGTTTGTAAGAGAAAAGTGCCGCCAACCCTTCCCGCCGTTCCTGGCACGCTGTGAACTGTGGAAAGTGGGTTGGCTGGTAGAGATAGGATACCAGAGAGAGAAAACCCCTCAGGTGAAAGTAAGGAGTGATTGATTTCAAGAGAAGAAGTCTGTCTCTTTTCCTTCGGGGTGCCCTAAATTTTCTCTTCTCTGATCATCGTATGTGAATATATCTATCTATTCAGTGCAGACCCGATTCTCACCTGCAGTAAGATACGGCGAAAGCTCCCACCTTTTTCTGTTTCCACTAGTGTTTGATTAGCTTCAGCAATTGGTTTCACCTGTTCCCTTACCGGAATCTTTTGCCAGCCGCGGGGATTGCTTCGGCTCCCACATTTCGTAATGCTGTGCTAGTTGTTGTTGATGTTAGGGTATGTGGGATGAATGGCTCTCATTTTGGGAAGAGAAGGAAAAATGTTCCCTTTTCATGCTATCAAAAGCTGCTCTCTTGTTTGGGGTGTGGTTTCCAGGGTTCAGAAGGTTGCCTCAGTTTCAAATCATGGCCAAGATATTGCCGTTCACAAAAGTTTCAGCAAGTTTCACATGTATCGGCTTTTGGCTTACCAATCTTATTCGAGTACTGCTCCTCAACACGAAAGGCTGTCTTGGGAAGTTTCCCCTCGTGCTGTTCTCTTGAGGAAGCTGGAAAGTGCTCTGAATGACCACCAACTAGATGAAGCCTGGGTGAATTTCAATGGCTTCAAAAGCTTGTATGGATTTCCTCCGGATGCTCTAATCAGCAAGTTGGTCACGGAGTTATCATACTCTGCTGACCCTTGTTGGTTGCAAAGAGCATATAATCTAGCTGTCCTCATTTGCGAAGAGAAGTCGAAAAAGTTGCTGCAGGTTGATATCCTTACTAAGCTCTCACTCTCTTTAGCGAGAGTGCAGATGCCCATTCCAGCCTCGGGGATTCTTAGTCTGATGCTGGACAGAAGGATTCTGCCTCCAATGAATGTGTTGTGGTTGGTTCTTTTCCACATGGTTAAGACTGACCCTGGGACTTATCTCGCATCAAATTTCTTGATTCAGATTTGTGATTGTTTCCTTGATTCAAATGCTAAAAAAGATCAACAGGTGAAACTGGTTAAACCAGACACCATGACTTTTAACATTATTCTTGATGGTTGTGTGAGGTTTAAATCGCCTCTAAAAGGTCAACAGGTTATGGAGCTGATGGCAGAGATAGGGGTTACTGCTGATGCACACTCCGTCACTCTCATTGGCCAGATCCATGAAATGAATGGCTTGAGGGACGAGATCAAGAAACTTAAATATCATATTGATGGGTTACCAGTTCCTTTTCTTTGTCACTACCAGCAGTTATATAATAGTTTGTTAAGCTTGCATTTCAAGTTCGATGACATCAATGCTGCTGCTAAGCTCATATTGGATATGCACATTCCTCGGGTTTCTGCTACTCTTCATGAGAAATGTAGAAGGGAACCGCAAATGCCCCATCTTGTTTCCATAGGTTCTGACAGTATTAGGTCTGGCTTGAAGATGCAGATTCTGCCTGAACTATTGGTGAAGGATTCTATCCTACAGTCAGAAACTGAACTAGAGCTTGTTGCTTTTAAGAATGGGAAAATTCTCCTTAGGAAAAGAGCAATGGCGAAGCTTGTTGCTGGTTGTCGGAAGCATGGTAGGATCAGCGAGCTGTCTGAGGTTTTATATAGCATTCAAGAAGACTATCATAAACAAGAAGGATCGAGTTTATGTTCCGAAGTCATTGAAGCTTGTGTCCATGTAGGCTGGCTGGAAACTGCACATGACATCTTGGATGACATGGAAAAACTTGGTGGTCGGTCAATGAGCTTGACTTCATATATTACACTTTTAAAAGCATATTATGGGAAGCAGATGTTGAAACAGGGAAATGCGTTGCTAAGGCGAATGCAGAAGTTGGGTTGGCTTGTAGATGCTTCTAATGAAGTGGTAGCATTCTCTTGTGCATCTGAAACATCTGATTTGGCACATATATCTTCCAAATGTAGATCAGGCCTGGCTGAGTTTTTGCTTCAAGAAGCAGGTGAAGAAAAGGGTATGTCTCCTACAGTGTATGAGTTGAATTCTACTATATACTTCTTTTGCAAAGCTAAAATGATGGAAGATGCTCTGAAGACATACAGAAAAATGGGGCACATGCAAATTCGACCCACAGTACAAACTTTTGCCCATCTTGTGCATGGGTATTCTTCTCTAGGAATGTACCGGGACATTACCATTTTGTGGGGGGACATCAAGCGGAACGTGGAAAAGAGTAACTTAGCTTTGTGTAGGGACATGTACGAGTGCTTGCTTCTGAACTTTCTTCGAGGTGGGTATTTTGAGAGAGTGATGGAGATTGTCGATTGTATGAGAAAACAGAACATGTATGCTGATAGATGGATGTATAGATGTGAGTTCTTGAAGCTTCATAAGAATCTTTACACGAGTTTGAAAGCCTCTGAGGCGAGAAATGACACACAAAAGAAGAGGCTCCAGCATGTCGCAGCTTTTAGGAAATGGGCTGGAGTTGTATGATGTTTTCTAAATATGCATGGCTTGAAAAATATTCACCTCCTAATTGGAGCGGTTCGGTCAAGGGCCCTAGACCTCATTGCATCCTAGTGAATCTTACAAGGCAATTCAAGGTTTGTCTTCAATCTACTCAAATATTTTTCAGATTTCCCTTTCATGTTTACTTCAGATGTTCTTTAGTTATTGAAGCTGCAACAATACTAACTCAGGCAATCCAAGATGCTACCCTGCCTGACCAACATTTTGGCTGCGGGGTTAGAAAAGGGCAATTAGCTCCTTCAACCGTGTCAAGAAGACTGTCATGGATTAAACTTTAAAGAACATGAGTTCATGCAGAATTCAGGGTTCAATGAATAGGAGCATGAGATGTGGATATTCAGCAGGGAATAGAAGTAAAGAATTTGGTGTTCCGGTTTTGGATGTTTAATTGGTGTACTTCATTATTTTCAGGAGCAATGGTACATAGTCATGTCAGATGTTGTCAAGAAACTCAGAGGAGATCAAGTACTTAAAGCACGGGCATTATTGAAAAATATAGTCGTGAATGCAATGAGCAACCCTAAGGGGGGGGGGGGGGGGGGGATTAAAGCTGATGTGATATGGGAAAAGTCCAACTTACCTGAGTTTCTACTAGCAACTCTACAATGAAGCCGCTGCCCATTCCAAGATTTTGCTGAAGAACCAAAGTGAGTGAAAGGACGAGAGGGTAGTTCTGGACACAGTAGATGTGGGGAAGGTACAACTCTTTTTTTTTTTCTCTCTTCAAATACAATGGTTCGGATGGAATGTGAAGTGATATATACTTGCTGGAAAATTTCACTTGATGCAGCAGTTTTGAATTTGTACAGTTGTTTGATCACAGTATGTTGAGGCAGAAACATGTTCTGTAATTGCAGGCCAGTTTTTTCGCATCAGTGTGAATCAGCTTAGCGTCGAAGCATGGCTTTGATCTACAGCTGGAGAAGCTGTTGTTTTTCGCGGTGCAGTGTCTGCTGGAGCCTTCAGGGATCCTTTCCAACTTCTTAACAGGAGTTCATCATTCCAGTCAAATTGCTACTTACGCTGCGACGATACTCACAGGTTGTACTGGCTAGCATCAACTTGCGCTTGAAATGTGTTTCCAAATCTGCGAACCCACAGCACTGGCTAGGGTTGATGTTCCAAATTGATTTCTGTTTGCATAACCCAACACTTCTCCTACATCAAAAGTGCAGTTCAGCAGCGTCAGATATTCTTGTTGATCAACCAACTCTCTTGTATAGTTAGTAACTTATTTCACCTGAATTAAAGCTGATGTGATATGGGAAAAGTCCAACTTACCTGAGTTTCAAACTTTCTGGGGCCATGATCTATCTTACACATTAGTGAGTAATTTCTACTAGCAACTCTACAATGAACCCGCTGCCCATTCCAAGATTTTGCTGAAGAACCAAAGTGAGTGAAAGGACGAGAGGGTAGTTCTGGACACAGTAGATGTGGGAAGGTACAACTCTTTTTTCTCTCTCTCTTCAAATACAATGGTTCGGATGGAATGTGAAGTGAGATATACTTGCTGGAAAATTTCACTTGATGCAGTAGTTTTGAATTTGTACTGTTGTTTGATCACACCATGTTGAGGCAGAAACATGTTCTGTAATTGCAGGCCAGTTTTTTTCGCATCAGTAAGAATCAGCTTAGCGTAGAAGCATGGCTTTGATCTACAGATGGAGAAGCTGTTGTTTTTTCGCGGTGCAGTGTCTGCTGAAGCCTTCAGGGATCCGTTCCAACTTCTTAACAGGAGTTCATCGTTCCACTCAACTTGCTACTTACGCTGCAAGTGCGACGCTACTCACAGGTTGTAACGAACTTGTTCAAGACCACCACCAACCACAGGACAAAACTATGTTTCAACATGATGATGATCAATGACACGAATCGTCTTGCCAAGGGAGTGAAGTGAAAGCCCCCTACCCCTAAAAAAAGATGTACTGGATAGCATCAACTTGCATAACCTGACACTTTTCCTACATCAAAAGTTTAGTTCAGCAGCGTCAAATATTTTTGTTGATCAACCAACTCTCTCTTGTGTAGTTAGTAACTTATTCACCTTGCCGTTGCCGAACAACAGTACTCAACACTAAAACATGAAAATACAACCAGGTGTTATGGCTGACCTTGTGCCAGTTCTCCTTCAGGAGGGATACCAAGAAATAACACCAGTAGTGTTTTCTTTGTAATGCTAACAGTAGTAATGATAAACTGTTAATAACTTAATATGATGCCATTTTTGGATCCTTAACAATTTTAGAGGAGCAAGTGAAGAGGGGCGATCGAATGGGTAGGGAATGAGAAGGTTGCCCCCATTTCAATCAACCTCGACCACTGAATCAGAAGAGCAAAGAAAGGCCTGTCAGCCTGTCAGGTTGTTATTTTTTGGACAAATAATTTATTAAAGAAAATATAACATCTGTTCGGTTCTATGGTGTAGTGGTTAGCACTCTGGACTTTGAATCCAGCGACCTGGGTTCGACTCCCGGTAGGACCTTTTTTTCCCGTCATCCTCTGCTCGAGCTCTCTTCCCAGTTCAGGTAGAAGGAAGACTGAAAGCTACAGCTTTTCTTGTTTGTACTTTGCAGCTGATCCAATGAATGCTTAACCGACTGTTTTTTTTGGACAATAATGCTTAACTGACTTACTGTCCACTTTTTGACGGGAAAAGCTACTGTCAGTATTCTTCTCCCTAGCTAGCTAACTAGCGCCCGCCCGCCAACCCACCCTTCAATGGCTAGGCCTCCTAGAGTCTACATCTGATCCATTGCTTGGCGCCGACCAACGGCCAACTGTGTTTCACAGAAATCAGCAAGTTGCCAGAAATCAACGAATTCAACCGAGAACACGAAAGTGCACGTAAAAGGCAATTAAAACGAGGTTCTGAATCAGCATGTCTGGTACGTAGCACTGGTTAGCTAGCTGTAGGCTTTAGCCAGGGACCAAACAGGTACATGGAATAGAAGGTCCGGCCGGCGAACAGAACCAAACACAGGAATATGAAACACGTGTGCGTTTATCCATGGATCAGCTAGCTTGCTAGCTAGCTTATCCTTTCTTCATTTGACGAAGATGGTTCAGTCAGTATTAGTTAGTTGTTTCGTAATCCAACGAGAAGTCACTTTCAGGGGGACAACAGTAATAATCAACCTCATCAACTGCGTCTGTCTCTGTCTCATTACTCTTTGACAAAGTCCATTTCTTTGAAAAAGGCTGACAGCGGACAGGCAAACTACTGCTGCAAGCTCTCGGCTTTAACTAGGCACGTGTCCCAGAATTTTATGATCAAAGATCCTCCTCTGACTTCTTTGCTTTCTCGATGTCATGTAATACATGTTCAGGTCAAGAGAGGAAAACAAGTTAAAACAGAACTTGCCTGTGTTGTCTGGTCTACTTCCCTCTCTCTTCTTCTTTTCCTTGCAATGGTACTAACATATATACATCCATCTTCATGGAGTGGAAGGGCCAACACCGACACACGTTTGAAAAGTGATAGATTAGGTTTGAAATAGCAATGTCAACAAAAACAATCTCTCTCAATGCATGCACCTGTTACCTGATGTGTCAAAAACTAGCTCTAACCGCGTCGATAATACGAGCTGGAGTCCGACCATCACCAAACAACTCAAATTGACGGAAGGCGTAAATCTCTTATGAATTGTTACTAGTATGATATGATTCTCGTGCACGTACATTGTTCACCTTCTCGATCAAACAAATCAGTTTATTGGTAGCTAGTTAGTATTAGACTTAATTGGTTACAACATTCATGTCGATCGATCCCAAAGTTGAGTTTTAGCCGCGACTGGGGACACTCTGGTCTTCAATGTCAAAAGTGGATGTGTTGTATTAAATTTTAGTTACAGACTTTACAAAGAAAAAAATGAGTATACCCGTAGTCCGATTTTACTCAATAATTCGAGTTTAAAAAAAGATAAGCACATGAAAGTATATTTTTTTTTCCGTTGAATCCACATAAAAGTATTTTAACTGAATATTACCATCTCATATTGGAAACCACTTCATGGGATGATCTCATGTGGATGAAGCTTTACCCATTAAAAGTACAGCTCATAGTGGTGTCTTCAATTGTCACCAACTATTATTCCAATGTATTTTTTTCTCTCTTATCTTCTCGTCAAGCGCCCATTTTCGTGGCCGTTTTTAACTTGAGAGGATAAAGGAAAGAGAGGGGGACACTTGTGCTTTGTTTATACGGTTCCCCAAAGTCAGACTTTGGGGATGAGGTTTAATTTGAGTTAAAAGCTAGCAATTAAAGACTGAAGAATCAAAGATAAGAATAGAATTTGTGGGTCAATGTTGGAAGTTGACTGCAAATTAGCTTTCTGTGACAATGGAGACGAGTAGCGAACAAGGACTTAGTTTAGAAGTATTATTGTTGGTCTTGAATTTGGATGTTTTAGATTTAAATTCTTTATGTAACACCTAATTATAAAAAGGAATGATATATCACAGATAAAAACACTGAAATTTCTACAGTTTTGAACTGTTTAGAATGTGGAGATCTAGACTTCAATTTTCCAAACGATCCATTGTTGTAATTAATATGATAGTTTTTGTGATCTAGTTATAACAAATATATTAATTGTGAGTATTATTAGGTTTGACTTATAATATTTTCGACCAAACCTAATGGAATTCTGTTAATTCAATTTTCCCTTGCTGGTTTGACATCTGCATATAACAATCAATAATGATATTAATTAATTAACTAATTAGCAACTAGCTAGGTACGTACAACCTCAATCCAAAAATTGATGGATAAAGTAGTTAATTACTCAATCTACAGGCTAAAAAATATTCTATTCGGTTGACACTCACAATGTAAATTAAATTGAGCGGCGCCAAATTCAGAAGATTATAAATTTGAGAGGTGTAAAGTAAAAGGTTGCGTGCCAACCGCAAGGTATGAGGTTTCACTTCGAGTTATGGAATACATCAATTTACTGATAGAGCGAAAAAGTTATATCTTTTTATATATATTAGGTTCGAGTTATACATACTCTTTATTGATTACATCCTTCTTTGACTACAATCTAGTTATATCTACGTGCACGATCGATGGAAGCCGGATGAAATGAAAATGACAGGTTGATTCTAGGGAGTTCATTGTTGAACCGCAATCTCTCTACTAAATTGGATCAATAAAAGAGTTTAGGGTTGGACGATAAGAAGCACGCAATCGGCATTTTCCATCCCAATTCACAAGTAGTTTTGGTCACATAGCATGTGTGAGGTGGGGCAAAGCTGTACGTGCACTAAACTATTGCTTCACGCGACTTTAATTTTGTGTTCAATTGATTGCTTCTTCATTTCGTGTTACATACATGTGCATAGGGTTTGACTTGTATTCGTATAAAAAAAAAGTATCTGTATGATGGAATTTTGCAAATGGGCTGACCTTGAAGTCGTACATAGTTATTATACCTATGGTTAGATTTTGATGATGGCCAGATTGATTGATTGATTAATTCAAAACTTGAATTAGTATCAGGGTTGACAATCATTATTGTACATAATTATTTCGAGTAATCTTGTTTTACTAGATGATTAGATGATTAATTATTATTATCTTCAGTCGTGGTATATATAAATGGTTGTCAGCTGGGTGGGAATAGGTGTAGGTGGCGCCCTTTGGGAGGTTGTATTAGTTGTTCATCAGGTGTGATAGTTAGACTGGAATAAATCGGATGCAAGAGGGGAAAAAGGTAAACTATGAATCATAAATATTATAGTATCGAAAAATGTATATACCTCAAAACACTACATATGCAAATGATTCATCTAAACCAACTCTTCAGAACTATTTTACAAATTTAATTTGGATCTTATAGGGTACTCATTGAAATGAGTGCATACCGTGCAACTTAGGGTCGTTTGGAAGTTGCGATTGTTTTGTTGAGATTGTCATTATGCATGTATTGTTTACAATGCATCGTTTTTTTTTGTTTTTTTAGCAGAAATAATACATGGATTGTTTCTATGATGTGACAGAAACTATCACTCATTTTGAGTGATTGTTATATCTCAACTTTTAGTTATGATTGTTGAGATAGTTGAGTTGAGATTGTTTTGTCTCAGCTTTTAGCTGATGCGACATACACAATCACACATACCAAACGTTGTATTCCACAATGCATCAAATTCGACAATACATGTATAATATTATACATGCATTCTCAACAATACATCTATTTAACAATCGCAACTTCCAAACGACCCTTCTAAATGTACAGTTTAATAATTAAAGTAAAAAAATATAATAATTGTATTTGTCAATTACAACAATATTACTATGGTTATCTCTTGCATTTTTACTCATAAATTTAATCGTAGAATGATAATTTAGTAAGCAAATAGTAAATATTTGATCTTTTTCATAGACAACATTGTAGATATTTAGTGATCACTTAGAGATCTAACATCTAGTATAGACTCTCTGTCACGGGTAAGTAGATGAGAGATGGAATGAGAAAGATTATGTATGATATGATAACCAATAGGAGATTCATGGCCCTCATAGATCATGTAGTCCAATACAAAATTACTTTCGTGATATGTATTGTTCGGTGAAAAGTAAGGTAATTGTCAAATGACAAAGATGTAGATGAATGCTAGATGAAGTGAAAAAACTATATAACTGAATAGTATGTAGAATTACCTCGCTGCACATTATAGACCCGAGGAAGTGTAATAACTTCATAAAATTAGCATAATTCATTGTTTCACCCTCGAATTTACCGTTTTCAACATTAAAATTTTGATCGTCTACCAATTACTTATAAAGGAAAACGAGATCGAAACAAATAAGGAAAAGGTAAACTATTGAACAATGAAATGTTAAAAACAATTTTACAGTTTGACCTTACGGCAAACTGTAGTTCCTTTTCATGGTAGATCCTAATTACAAAAATATCGGCTCCCCACATTTTGGATGACCGGCTCAAGCCCACAAACTTGGAAAAAAAGAAGAAACCAAATCGCCAGAGACACATATCAATCATCCTGCTGTCTCCTTTGTCCTTTTTCTTTCTCAACAACATGCAAACTACCCAAAAGGAAACAAAATTGATATTTGAAGATTCCTTCCTTCAGTGAATTCCACTCCTTCCTCTTGTTTGTCCTTTGCCAGATCTCTCTTCTTGCTCTGCTGTAGTCTCTCTTAGTAGCAAGGAAAGTGAATCAAGACTCCTTTTCATGCTGTACAATTGGGGGTCTTCCCTTTCCTTTGAAGCAAAACTTTCCTTCTTCTTTCTCTCTTCCACAGTAGCTGTATTCATATCCTTGTTTGGCAGGCAGCCAGCCTGACCATGGTGGTGGCCTGAGGCTCTCTGCAGCTTTGCCACTTGTCCTCCTTCCTTCATTCTGTCCCTTTCTTCCCCAATCAATGAATCGAATGCAATATATGTGGGTGCTTGTTTTGGGCAATTCCCATTAATAGAAAGGAAAGGACACTCTGGGTAGTGGTTGACAGGATATCATAAATGAAATGGGATTGATGATTATGGCTTGCTGTTGCTCTGTAACTACTGCCTGTTAATTCATTATTTCTTGAGGGAAAGTTTGATGGGCAGACCGTTCTGGGGAAGAGCAAAAGGACCATACTGAATTCCATTGTTGTCACCCACGATAGACCACCTGCCAGCAACACAAGAAAACAAGTCTCAGCCTTCCTCTCTTTCTTACCCAACTTGCTATTTTTGGATAGGCAAGCAAAAAGAAAAAGGAAGCAACAGAAGAAAAGAAGAGGCAGCAGCAGGGCTCCTTTTCTTTATGGTTTTTGGGTTATAACCGACCTGTACTTGGTGGTCAGGTGGTGAAGCAGCACTAATATCTCCACCTTAGCTAGCTCATTCCCAGGGCACGCGTGGGTCCCGCTGCCAAATGGCATGAATGTATTGGCCTTTGGTGCCACCTGTTGATTCCCAATCAAGAAGATGGAACAGAGAGCTTATTAGAATCGATAGAAAAACAGAGGAGATAGTTGTTACTGTTACTGTTACTGTTTTACAGTGAGGATAACAGAAAGAGGAGGTTTTACCTCGAATCTTGAAGGGTCAAATTTCTCAGGGTCGGGGAAGATATCAGGGTTGTGGTGAATGTTCCTGAAAAGTGGTAAAACTTTCCATCCTTTGGGGATTAGATACCCTGAAAGTGACCAAAGAACAAACAAGACCAGACACAAAATATCAGCATCATCCCATTGCAAGCAGAAGTGGGTTTGAATTGAATTGAGCGGATGAAAACTGAAGCCAAAAGAAAACAGCCAGCAGTCTGCTTGCTACTGACCTTCATACTCAACATCTTCGACAGCTTCTCTGAAAGTGAAAGAAAGAATTGAAGCGAGTCTGAGTGTCTCCTGAATCACCCTTGAAGTGACTGGCATCATTTTTGTGTCTCCCCAACTCAGAGCTCCTTTCTCCCTACTAATCATCTGCTTGGCGACCTCCTCTTGCTCTTCCTGCCAGAACAAAAAATAAAAAAAAAAAGTTTAGAATCAGTTTCAGCAACATCCTTCTTTTGTATTGAATATTAATTCAAAAGGATTCGGCTTTGGGAAGAAAGAAAGAAACTTACAGTGACGGCCTGAAGAACAGATGGGTTGTCTCGTAGGTACTTGAGAACCCAGGTGAGAGCACTGGCGGTGGTGTCCCTGGCGGCGAAGATAACTCCGATGACGTTATCGGTGATTTGCTCGTCGGTGAGTTCTTTGTCTTCCATGAAAGAACCCAGAAGGTCGTTGTGGTCATGTTTCATCTCCCGCCTCATCGCCATGATTTTCGCCACGATTCGACCCAACTCCTTCCTGGCCTTCATCGCCTTGTGGAAAAGCGTCCCCGGAAGGTTCACCGGCATCGAATTGTAACCCTTTTCCAAAACGTAATAACACCTCTTCAATTCCTCCCCGTACATAGCTCCATCCTTGCCAAATATCGACAGCAGCGCCACATTGAACGTATACTGCAAAACCCACAAGAAAAGAACAAAAATTTAGTCTCCCAAATCCTTTACAGAGTGCTCTGACTCTGTTTTTTACAGGGGGGGAAACAGAGTGCTCTGTTTTTTTTACCGTTTTCATTTCGAGGTAGGTATTGATTTCGTGGGTGGCTTCCCATGAATGGAGGGCGTGGAGGGCGAGGGATTCAACTTGCGGAACGATGTAATGGAGCGATTGCGGCATGAAGGCTCGGAGGACGAGCTTGCGGAGCTTGGAGTGGTAATCCCCCTGGTGGAAGAAGATGGCCTGCCGCCCCAGCATCCGCTCTTTGCTGGCCGGGAATGTGGGCTTGAATATGTTCGATTTGGTGACCAGCACGAATTTGGCAGCTTCAGGGCTGGAGATCATGACGCAAGGGCAGCCCAAGATGTGGGTCTTGAAGATTGGACCGTACTTGCTCTGTTTCGAGGTGAAGAACACATTGGGGTCCTGCGAGTACATCTGAAACGTCTCTCCGACGTACGGATACCCCATGGATCCCGGCGGGAGAGGCAATTGCTGCGGCCCCCGCTTGGAGAAGAAGCGGTTGAGGATGAAGAGACCCGATGCGAAGACGGCGGCGAAGATGAAGAAGAAGGGGTGAATTGGGGAATTGGTGAAGATATCCATGGATGATGGAATGGATAAGACGGACAGGAGGTAGTGATTCAGATTTCAGGATTGTTTTTCGGGTCTTGAGTGGAATTGGGAATGGAGGGTTTTATGGAGAGGAAGTGGGAGGGGAAGGAGGAGAGGCATTTATAGGGTTTTGCTTGGAAGGGTAGAAAGGGGAATTGTCTGAAGGAACCAGCTTGAAATCCACTCCACACACGGAATCTGCATCCAGCTCATGTGGGAGACTGACTGAGGAGTAGAAGAAGGGGATTTCAGCTTTCCATTTCAGTCCTCTCTCTCTCTCTCTCTGCCTCTTTTTCGCTCCATTTTCTGTTATATTAGTTTAATGGTGTTTGGACTTTTTGGGATGATGGGGGAGATTGGGCACGTGGCAGGAGAATACAAGGGGAAGAGAGGGAGCAAACAGGAAGGTGGCAAGAAGAAGGATGGGAGGGTGAAGAGGGAGCTGTTCCAATGAATGAATTGATGAATACGAAGGAAGAAAGAAGTTGGCAAGCAAGTTGGAGCTGGAGAATTTGACCATAACAAAATGATTAATGAGCCCATGCTGTTGCCCAAAAGGCTTTTCTTGAATGCTAGCAGGAGCAACCAGTCGACTCCATTGTTTCTGTTTTAATATGTCAACTTGTTTGGGGGAGGAAGTATGGTATGTGGTGGTGTTGATGTGGCAAAGTCATTAGTAGTGAATTTTTCATCGGATTTTATCGTCTTCAATGATATTATGGTGGGTTCAGATCATTATCCGAATATTCGAGTTGGTTGTCATGTAAAAAAGAAACCAATTATCTTATATATGAAATGTGGGTACGCTTTATTGGCCAAAACTTCTCTACTACTGTTTCATTATTTGGCGTTTTGTGGGCTGGGATTGAAGAGCTTCCCTGCATCAATTTCGTTGCCCACCCCGACTCAAAAAGAGCTCCCGTGTGGCTGTCTCTCCCGTCCTTTCAACTCTCAAATCTCACCCCTGCAGCAGCCAGCCATGCTTTCTGTACCCTCAATCCCTTCACGACCTTACCACTAAAATCCGCAATCCAACCCAAAACTTCAGTCGTCAATCATGCTCTGTTCCGACCAGCTGGGTTGTCCGACCCGACCCAACAGTACCTGCTCTGTTCCGCAGCAGTCAATCATGCCTTCCTTCGCAACCTTTTTATTTTTCGCTTTATGTTTTGTGACCAGAAGCCTTCCCTTGCCCATCAGTGTATGCCCACTGTCAAAGAGCTGAAAAGCCTATGCCACATCGCATCATCAATTAGAGGTCAGGTGGCCATACCTTTTGTATCTCTGTCTCACCCCAAAATCCGCAATCGCCATGCTCCAGTCATCTCCCTCCTCTTACCTCGACAGTTTGCTTCTAGATCTTGCAAACTCTGCATAACCTACTCCAACACACCTCCTCCCACGATTTTTGTAGATTTTCCCTTACTATTTGAGGGTAGACTTCTCTCTTCTCTCCATCGATTGTTCTTTTTTCATCTACACCTTCAATTATGTTCTTCATCTATCTCTTTGTGGCTTTACCCAATCCCATACCCCAATCACTTTTAAAGTTTTATCCTTCCGCAATCTTCCAAACTCCAGCGAGAGTGAGAATCCACCATTAACGCCGGGGAGGAGCAAGTGCAACGCGGTTATCTTTGATCTCTTCCTCTTGGAGCTTCGACTCCAACACCATCCTGCAAATATGAAAACAGTGCCACAATTGTGGAATCTACTTCCGGCTGGGCCATTTTCTCCCGATTGTGTGAGTTTTCTTTGATTCTGCTGCAATTTCTCGAATTTGCTTCCTGTCTTTAGCTAAGACCTTATTTTGTTCATTGCGGGGTTGGAATGAATTGGTTGTGCAGAATAATGGGAGGGGCGGAGAGAGTTGAAATCAAGCATGGGAATCACTCCCTTTCAAATGGAGTTTATCAGGTTGTCAAGCCAATCATGGATTTCATCAGTGGAGGTGGTCCTGAAGGTTGGGACGATCCATCGATTTGGGTATAGCTTATACAGTAATTACACAGCTATCATTTAATTGTCTTGATTGTTCTTTTCACCCCTCTTCTGAATGAAAATCTATTATGTTATTTTCTCATCTTTCTGATATTTGTTAGTATAATGAGTACAAGTCTGTGGCAAATGCTGAACACTGTACAAAAAGAGATGGGAAAAAGAGGTCATAGTGTGGGTTGAATAGCAGTGAAGTGACCACCAGCATTTGTTCACATTGTCAAAACTAGAAACATGAAGGAATTACATATTGAAGGGCTGCTAATTAACTGCTTTGTCTGTGCTATGCATTTATGCTTTTCTGGAACACAGATACCATAGCATGCCATTTCCACCACCACATATTAACCTCATTAACTAACAAAAAACTTAATGTTCTCAAATATTGTACGCAGGGAAGGAGAAGACTTGGAGAATGGTGCAGCAGCTTAGCAGCGGAAGAAGAAAGATCAGGACTGAGTGACTTAGAGTGAGAGAGGGAGAACGAATGCCGGAGGGAGGAAGGGGTGAAGCACAAGACTTGGTAGAGGAGGAGACAGACCCGCAAAAAGCCACCACCATTTTCTTGGTTCGTCGCTTGAGCTTCGAAGTTCTGGTACTTCCTTTTCCCATGACAGATTCTGCTGTTGTTTCTGTTTCTCTAGAATGAATGAAATGAAATGACGAAGGAGCAGAAGAGGTGGTAGAAGGAAAGTGGCGGTCTGGGGTTGTGAAACTGAAAGTTGTGATGGAGTTTTAATCTGTGGTTTGACTTGGAATCGGCCTGCTATAATGGACTATGTTCTCTATCATTTCTGTTCAAGCATCAGTTTTTTGCTGCTTTTATGTGTTTCATCTGATCCATTTAGGCATATTAGAATCATACTTCTTCTATTCTGCTATGGTCCACAGTGTGCATTCTTTGGGTTAAATGTGATGACCAATCATGGATATACAAGTTCTTTAATCCACTGAGATATTATGGGTCTTAGGTTGAGTTTTCTCATTCTTTTTTCCGGTTACTATTTCTATTGGGTGATCTGATCTGTCCCATTTCTAAAATATATATAAACAAGTTCCAAGTAAATTACTTCATGTATTGGTCACGTTGTTTAATTTGGTGTGTGATGGGTTTTGGTTGGTGTCATCACAAGAGCTCTGTATTCTTGCTTATGCAATTATAATATGATTCTAGGGATTCAAATGGTTTTCCTGGTTTGAGCAAGAGCGTACGATTTTAATCAAGGAGACTGTCACCTTTTTGAAACTGCAGAAATAGGTGCTTCTGAAGATGAACGTGAAGGTCCAAAGCATAGTCGTTACATGTATCGAGATTATGAGATCGTTTCTCTCATTGCAATCCGTGCAAGCAGAATAGTATGGGTCTTCTATGTACCTCTTGAACCACCTCCAAGATACGTAAGACTTTTTTATCAGGTTATGGATCGAACTACTTTTACAAATTTTCACATTTCCATTTACCGAGACAAATCGCAGTGGCTATCAAATTGTACATTGAAATGTGGAATCTTTAATTTCATATACTATTTTATCTCGCTTAAAGTTTGGTTGTCTTAGATCTTGGGTGATTACGTTGAGAGGGCCCTATACTTTCCTTTCTCTTAGATCTTCAGTAGGCAATGGTTCAAAATCAGTAGACTTTGTACACTTCCAGACAACCTGACATGTAAAATGGGAAACCATGAATGTTATTTTGGTAAACCACCGTCTAGGGATAGTAGATGTGCTTTACACTTCCTTTGCTTGAAGGGAATCTATGAACAACCATTCAGAGTTTGAATTTTGTCTCTAAATAGATTGGTTGCCTGTTGGCAGCAGGTGATTTTATCCATAATCCATCTCTGCAAGCTAGGGGTATCGCTATTCATTAATGGTTGCTTTATGCTCAAAATCCTTTTCTTGCATGCTTCTTTTGTTTCAGAGCTACTGCACTTTCTTTCACCTGCTGCTGTAATTTTACTTCTGCACTTTCTTGATGTTGTTGTAATTATGTTGTTGTTCTTTTTAATTTTTGCTGTTGTTGTCTGTTAATTGTTGTCGTGGTTATGTTGGTTGCACTTCCTCCTCAACTGTCTTCCCCTCATGCCCAAGTGCCCAACTCAAAGCTTCAACATAGTTGTCTTGCATTAATAACAGCCTCAACTTTTGTTTCTACATGACAACATCGATGCACAAAGCACCTACTTGGCAACTGCAACCTGATATCAATGCTCGATGAGGTGGGCACAGAGAAAGGAATTGAAAGAAATGGAGGTGAGATATTCAGTTTGAAGCCTCAAATTTGCAGAGGCAGAAGGTCAAAGGGAGCGATTGGTCTTGATTTTGTGTAGTAACTGTGGATGATTCCTTAATTAATTGTTCGATGTTTATGTAGTTATGAATCAATTTTATACTTACAGGCACCATTTGATGACTGATATAATAATTCACAGCCTCCTAATCATTCTCAACTCTCATGGTATTTTGATTTGCCATTTATGTGTTACAGCTTCGGTTATCATTTGTTCTTTTGTTGTTAATATACCATTTTTTCGTTGTGCATGTTCACATGTGTAGTCCCAACTATTTTAACAAATCAAAAGAGGTTGGGATTTTGGAGAAAGGGTAAGAAGGAAAAGAGAAATTTGATAGAGAGCACATTTTTCCTTTTAAGTTGCAGTATAAATAGTATATGCATGATGTTAGCCCATCTTTTTAGTGATTTAAGGAGTTCAGAATTTGACCCAATAATTTTTCATTTTTTGATGAAGTCTGTTCCAGTTTTTCCCCAATAATAGCAAATGTTTCATTGAAAGAGCAACTAAAAAGCAATGTACAAGGGAGCAAAGATGTATACTAAACGTGGAAGTACAATGCAAAGTAGACTAGATTTATACGAGTTTTATGATACATGTTTTGAAGGAATTTAATGGGTTATTTTCAGTGAGTAAATTTAATTCACAGGCAAGGAGAATTTAGTTCATGTTGCTTAACTGGAATGTCGAAATAGTGCTTAATTGGAATGTCGAAATAGTCCCTGCGGCGTAGCCGCGGGTATTGATTCTAGTTTACATAATAGGGGGCTCCGAGATGATTGTCAAGAATGTATAGTAATGACGGATTGTGTCCAGCAATTTCCGAAGATGACAAGATGACAACATGTAGGCAAGGGATCTCTACAGAAAAGAAGTTGAGGTTGAACAATGAGATTCCAAGTAGGCTTGATCTCTATCATATTATCATATTATCTATCTAATCTTCAATGGATGAAGAAGACTTTTGAAGACCAAGATCAAGAATCAAATGACAACAAGTTGGGGGAAAATAGGATCGTAAAAGAATGATTATGAGAATTGGATCTCATCTAAGGAGCCAAGTGTAATCCAAGAGGATTTTTTCAAAGCGAGAGACTCGATCCAAACTAACCATCTCCACAAAGATCCCCCTAGTCATTGACCAAAGAGATGAATGAAGACTTACATTATATGTCTCTTTCCTAGCAATATGTTTGGCAATAAAGAGAATGCAAATTCGAGAAGGGTACAAGTTGATTGGTAAATTGTAAGAGGGTGCAAATTGGTGGGAGGTGCGAGTGGAGAGGTAAATTGTTGTTTGAACAAAAAAGTAGTGGATGTGCAAATAAAGTGAAAAGTAAGTAATTATATTATCATAAATAGATTTATCAAATTTATAAAATATGATCACAAAATAATAATAAATATAATTTAAGAAAATTATTATTATATAATAATGCTCAAATAATAATTGATTATAACAACAGTAATAATCATTGATCGATCGACATCGAAACTCGAAGCCCAACTCGTAATTGGTCATCCTACATGGTTCTCGTGTATAATTTAACTTTGAATTGAATATGGTCAAATTTAGTCAAACACGTTCGAATTTGTAAGTTTTAGCTATTTGGTCAAGTAAATTGAGTCAACCAAACCGTTCTTCGCTACATTTTCCATAATCACTTATTATCTCTAATTTTCAACGGAAATTCGAGTTAACCAAGAGATCTCGATTTGACTAGACAAACATTGATAAGCTTGCTCTTGAAGTCTAACGATCAACCCCAAACATATCTACATTAATGATAACTATAACAAAACAATTGATAATATTAATTATTATACAATTAGAAAATATTAGAAAAATAATTTCTCCATTCTCCCCCTCCCCCTCTCTTCTTTTCTTCCCTTGTACTCCAATTCGAAAGTAAGCCGAAACAGTAATTTTGTATCCCGTTTTGCACCATTCCACTATTACAAATTAACCAAACGAATATTAATATGTTATAAATTGTATTTATCCCTCCCATTTACACCTCTTTCCCAAACAGAGTGGTATTGCTTTCATTTGGTCTGTCTGTGTGCTTCTTTATTTCTCTGTCTGTGGACTGTGTGGAGTGGACTAAAAATGGATCTGTATGATCCGTACCACAGCCCTTTTTTTTGCATTTGAATGCCATTATTTTGTTTGTCTTTTTTATTCTTTCAATTTTTGCTGCCTTTATGTGAAGCGTGTTCGTCTCCATGTCCCAACCGTATAACAAACAGACGCACGCAGCCTTTATGTAAATTCCTCAACTACTTGCGGAATAGCTCAGCGGTCCTTTTTCTTTTTCATATTTACGTCTCCCGTCCTTGCATGCAAAAATCGCTTCTCTATTGCATATCGTGGCAAACTGGTATGCGTGATTTAATGTGGAGAAAGAAGAAAATTTATAGGTGTACAGTGTACATGTGGAGTGGTCTGGTATATTTGATGTTATTACAAAATTATAAATTGTCGATTATTATTCTTTAATTAGATTTATTTTAGAGTTTACAAATAGGGTAAACTCTTCGTATCCTGATTACGTTACCGTGATAAATTTAAGTGATTTAAATTCTGATAATATTTTAGAAATTAGCACAATTTTCAATTATTTGTTCACAAGTTTCTTCGTGCACTTCCTCTCCTTTTTCATTTGTATACTAGGTTGTGTTTTCTTTTATTGTTTTGTGATGTTTAAAATTTATTTGGGAATGAGAAGGAGGCGACTCATCGTGTTTTGTCGCTAAAAAGGGAGCTTATTGCGATGGTGAATTTTTGAAGAAGTTTTGACCGTGAAAGTCATGCCAAGCCGAGGAAGGCATGTCACTACCGTGACACTGAGCCATTGTGGCTATAAGATGGCCTCTATCCACGATTATAAAGGGAAAACATGGGATTTTCACAACGGGAGCAATTCGAAAGAAAAACAGAGTATGAAAGAAATGTAGTGAGAGATTGCATTTGCGGAGGGTTTTCGGAGAGATTTTTCATCAAACCAAATAGAAATTCTTTGAGCAATTTACGACTATAACTATAAGTACGATTGTGAAGGATCATCCACAGAATGAAAGCGGCAGAACTGCTGCAAGAGTTGATTCTCATAGGAAAACAGCCTATTTAATTTAATTACTTAATTAAAAACCATCTGCCCACTCAATATCCATTGTTAATAGTTGATACAAAGATTTCAAAACAAAAGGTTCTTGCCTATCGCATTGTCTCGTGTGAAATTTTTGCAAGGGTCATAGAGATCAAAGACTTCTTCACACAAAGGTTATGAGTTATCATTTTGTTTGAAAGATTCAAAGTCATAATTCTTGAAAAATGAGTTATTGGGTAGAATAAACTCAAGAAATATTGAATTGAAGAAAACTGACTCTCATTTCGGTTTTTTTTGGGTGTATTATACAATTATAATAAGTTCAGAATTCTTTTCATTGGTAATGAGACACCTGGCCATTATTGGAGATATGACCTTTCAAAATTCATTGAAAGTAACCGTGAAAGATCTTGATCAAATATCGGGAAAAAGTGACAGATAACTGGTTAATTACATCCCTAAGTACTATATATCTACCACAAATTTTTTAGAATTTTACATGTATGCATATGACAAAGCTAATGCCTAATATATAATCTAACTTGTGTTCACAATTATTATATATGTACTTTGATATACTTGATAAATCAGAATCGTCGGTTATTATATATATAGATATAATTGAATTTATCTTATGATTTGGGATGGTAAAATTAGAATACGACATACGAGGTTTAGCCATTAGAAGTTTTGGTATAGTATCATACCCATATTTTGATTAATTCATCATCTAAATAATGAAACTCACTAGATGATAGGGTAAAGTTAGCATACACCATATGTAATCTAGCTTGTCTAAGAGTTCTATATGATACCCCAGATGAGTTTGGCGGCTCCGCATACCCTCGGTAAGATAACACTATCCATATATTGAACTAACTGAATTTTGGAATAGGATACTATACCTTTAACTCCAACAGATAAACGCTAGGTCCCAATAAAACAAATTTAGCTTGTCGTACTTGTAAGTTGTAATTGTGTTTCTTTTAACGATCAATCGACTACGAAATCTAACGTTGGTACACTATATCATGTAAACTCGATAAATTCGGAGGTCGCAGTAGGATATCATGAC